AAGGGTACCATGGGGTCGCAYGCTGGGATGGATGGAGTCTGTGTCGAGGAACACGGGTGATTCCAGCAGTGGCTCATGGGTCCAGGTGACGGCTCTGGGGACCCATGGACTCTAATGGGAAATGTGTGCTCCTCCCCTGGCTTCCTCCTGGCCCTGCCCAGAGCTGCCAGGACATCCCTGGCGATAACTGTCCCTCACTCTTGTGACTCTCTGCACTACCCTCAGCCTTTTGGGCACTCCCCAGCCTGGAGCGCACTCTGCACAGGCCCCTCCCCTCCCCACTCCACTCCTCCCCTCTCCTCTCCTCTCTTCTCCTTTCTTCTCCAGGCTCCACGKGCTGTTTTCATTCTATACAAATCCATCCTGTGGTCTTGATGGACAGTCTAAGATGTCTTCTCTTTGCTACCTTTGAAGTGTGTCTTTACACCTGTAATCACCCAGTGAAAGAGCATAGATTTATCCTCCATCTGCAGACACAGAAGCAGGGTCTCCAGACACCAGCACACGCAGACACACACTTGGTGCTTATGCCCGGGAAAGGCAGAGTTAGGACCCGAGCCACATGATTAGCCTCAGAAGCCACCTCTGGCTAGTTGGCCACTGTGCTTGCCATGAGGCCTGGGTCTACCTGCTGCTCCACCATCAAGAACACTGTGACAGCAAGCGCGTCCCCACACTGTGTCATCCCACACTGAGATATGGGAAAGACACGCCAACAGAGCTCTGGGAGGTGCGTCCAGAGGACGAGGGGGGAGGAGGCTCTGAGTCCAAGGAAATGGTGATCCCAGAATGGACGTGGTGGCCCCAGGGTTGGTGGATTGTAGGCCTCTGGTGGGACAGGGGGGCGGGAGCCTGGGAGGAATCAGTGACAGATGACAGGCTCCTGGGGAGGTGTGACTAGCAGCCATTGAGCTGTATTCTCAAGCCAGTGTAGCTGGCTTCCTTGGCAAGGGCTCAGGGTGTCACCTGGGATGACGTTTACTGCAGGAGAGGCCGGCTCTGCGAGCGGTCGTCACTCTCCCGGTACTTTCTGTGTGGCCTATTGATTGGCTCAGCTTACATGAACAGATAAGCTCTAGATCCATGTGTCAGTGGGTGCACAATTAACAAAAAATCAACTTTTAACCTTGAAGAATGACAAACGCGACACAGTAGCATCGGCCTCCGGGCTCAGAAACAGCTCTGCTCAGCAGTGATGGACCCCTGCCCTTTCCTTCCTCATGGAGGCACTTCCAGTGGATGGTGAGTCCCCAGGGAGGAGTGACAGCGCTGGCCCAGGGGACACAGGCCCCGGGGAGTCCCTTGCAAAGTGGCGAGGAGGTTAATAATCCAGCCGCAGACACCTGCCAGGTGGCGGGTCCGCCGCAGCTGTGCACGAGGTTTCTGATGAGTTTCCAAGTAAGCGGCCTGGATTCAGTGGGACGCTCTGACAAGAAGGAGACATGGATCTCCTGTGTCCACCTGTCCTTTAAATACATGTTAAGGACACAGCAAGCTGGTGGGGTGACTCTGTGGCTTACCAAGGAATCCTAAAATGTCCACGTGACTGCACTCTGGGTGCCTAATCCAACTAGCAATTATTAATGTAGAATATCGTAACTCAGATAAATTATTAATACAAGCCGTGTAATGCTTGGCTGCTTTGTTAATGGAAATTCAACTCTGCCAGTGGAAGTGGGTCACTTGCCTGAGCCTTGGGTCCTCCAGCCAGGGCCACCCAGGAAGGAGCTGAGCCAGGGGAGTTGAGAAACTGGATTTGGACCTGGAACAGCTGTAGGTGAGGGAGTGGGAAAGAGTGGAGAAGTCCAGCAGGAGGTCCAAAGAGAAGCAGAGCTGGCTTGGGGTGATCATGATGCTGGGTGTGGAAACACTCAGGGCTTCAGAGGGTCTGAAGCATCCTCGGGGACACCTGAATTACCAGGAAGATATCTGAATATCGTCAGGGCAAAGTAGGGTATTCTACACTCATTCTTCCATTAATTCAGCAAACCTTTTTGGAAAGTTTTCTATGGGTCATGTATTTTAAATATATTGTTAAGACTCACAAACTCATGGCAAGTGGCTATCCTTTTATCTACTTCCAAGATGTCAAAATAGCACAGAGAGGCTGAACAAGTCATCCCAAGTCACACAGCTAACAAATGTTAGAACCGGATGGTAAAGGCTGGGGAGTCCCACTCCTTTGGCTCTTCTCCAGGAGTTCACTCCATCTTGTAGGGAGATGTTGAGTAATATTTGTCCTGGGTTCCTTAAGAGCTGATGATGTTCTAAGGGATGGTTTGAAAAATGTGGAATCCTGGGCATGTCAGAAAAAAAATTTTTGAGCAAAACRTGGTTTCTTCTCTCTTAGTTCAGTACTCACACGGGTTACCTTCAGTAGTGTGGAAAACCCACCCTCCTGGGTAGCAGACAGGTAGAAGCCCTCAGTAAGTGTTTAGACACTCCTGGGTTCTTAAAATGCAGAMAGAGGCAAGTCGCCTGGCTTCAGCTGTTACTGAGCCCCACACTGGGCTCTYTGGCACAGCTCCAGGCTTACAGCTGACCTCCCTCAGTCGCTGCTCTGGAGGCGGAAACGGTGACCAAGTGGTTCACTGCAGCCCTGCCTGGGGCTGCCTCGCTCCTGTGCCTGGTCCAGGGCACACAGTGTTTCCCTCTCCTGTGCTGGGCGGCYGGGCCCCAGGAGGTCCACCCCCCACAGGGCCGATGGTTCCTCGATAGCTCCCCAGGTTGCTTTGCCAGCCGGCACCCGCAGGCACACTGTGGCCAAGCTTGGTCCCCACGCATGAGAAGCCTGGGCTCCCTCTGGCCACGTCTCCCCTCACCCACCTGCTCTCCCCCCGAGTTTCAGTGGTCCTCTCCCAAGACYCAACAGCACACCAGCACTCCGACCCCCTCAGGACAGCCCAGAGCCCCTCTCAGTGGGCACTGAGGTCAGAGGATGCCTGCTGCCCAACCCCACAGAGAGGATCAGACTCAGCTCCTGAAGTCAGGACCTTCTAGAACCTAATGAGTGTCCTGGAGTGAAAAATATCAAAATGGCCTTGGAAAAGAGCGGTACCACGAGAATCAGAGGAMGTTCAGTCCTGCCAAGTTCTAAATGATGGATCGACATTCCGTAGAGGCTGTTAATTTATTATAAACTGACAGCCATACTTAATAACGTTTCTACGAGTTTAAAAAATCCATCTGGAGTCAGTCCCATCATCCTGTCATCCAGCCTTGCCACTGGCTCTTTTCGAGAGTCTGGCCACCCGCAGAYGTTTAGACCTTGAGCAGTGGACTCCCCTCCTGTGCCTCCTGCTTGACTCCCCCTGAAGATAACCACTCCACAGCCTCTCACATCTCGGGGTYGGCGTGTGTTCCTGGGACCCCTGCTGAGGATCAAGGTTGCAGCTGCTCGGGTGTACCCCTGGGCTGTCCATCGGGGCCCCATCGGTGTGTGCTAGGCGCCTCTGCTGATCTGATGATGGCTGGGGTTTGCAGTGTGTGAGAGGCAGGTGGTGTGGAGCCTCCCATGTTGTTCTTCCTGCTGTGTGTGGCTTGGCTGTTCAGGGTTTTCTGTGGTCCTAGGCGGACACTTGGACTTCCGCTAGTTCTGTGTAGAATGTGGATGGAAGGTGGGCAGGGATCTCACTGGACCTGCAGTGGGCTCTGTGGGCAATGACCTCTGAACAAGCCTGACTCTTGCACCCATGGACCTGGGATGTATTTCCTCTTTTCTGTCCTCCTCAGTTACTCCCATCAGTGTTTTCCATCTTCATTGTCRACGTCTGTCACCTCACTGGTTGAGTTCATTCCTGGGTGTGTGGGGAACTATGGTAGGTGGGATTGCTCTCTTGGATTTTCAGGAAATCTCCTGTTGGTGGAGAGGAACATACTGATCTATGCCTGTCRGTTCTGTTTCCTGCAAGTTTGCTGAGCGCGTTGATCAGCCAGCTGTGGTGGCCTTTGTTTCTTCCTCTTGCCTGATTGCCCTCGCTGTGTGAGTCTGAGTTCTGGGCCTCAGAAACCTCCCGGCAGGATGTCCGCCTGGCTTCTGTGTGGGGCACTGTCRTGTGGAGGAGCCTGGCTTCTGTACCCCCTTCGTTCAGCGTTTTCTGACCTTGTGAAATGGCATCCCTGGCTCTCTTGCCACGAGCTTGTGTGACTGGCATGGTTGAAGGTCCTTCCAGCTCTGGGCTGAACCTCACTCCATCGTGGTGAGGATCCTGTGAACAGTCCATCTTTTTCATTCTGTGGGTAGGGCTGGCAAGACATCCTCCGCAAAGTGTCCGCAGGCGGCTGTGGCATGGTCTCCTGAGCTGCTCCCACACCTGTCTGTCTGTCCTCACTCTCACCAACAGCCATCATCACACTTTAAGATGCTCTTCGCTCTGAAAGGGAAAAAACATAGTCTCTCGGATGTGTTTCCTTGTCCAGTCTGTTATACTGAACAGTGTTTTCATGGAATCACTTTGTTTTTTTATTTCCTAATGGAGAAGATTTAMATATCTTGCTTGGAAAGATCTTTCAGTTTCCCTAAGCAATTCTCTCATGCTTTCTTCTTGATTAATTGTTAAGTTATACCTTTCTAGAAAGTGTCACATGTTATTCCAGTTGTAAAATTCATTTGAACATAGTTTTCAAATTATCAGGATTCCATTTGGATCTGTCTCTCTGGGACTCTCCCTGATATTGCATGGAAATCTGTGCCCACGTTCCCTCAGCCTTTTTGGTTTCAATCAGCCAGCTTTGGTTGTCGTGAGCCCCCTGTCTGTGCCTGGAGCTGGGTCACAGAAGTGCTCTGTGCAGATCTCTCCAGAAGTATGCAGACTGGATGAAGGGGCTCAGCTGTGTGGGGGGACCCTGCCATTTCTCTCTTGGCCCARGTTTCCCCACAAATGCTCCCCTGGAGAGAATAGCCTGTTCCTGGGAGAACCCCCTGAAACGTGAGGCTTGGGGAGTCTCGGCTGCAGCTGCGGTGTCTGATCCTGCTCTCCCTCCTGCYCTTGGTTTTCCAGGCCGGCATGATCAGGACCGAGGAGGCCGACTACTTCCTGACACCTCTCCCTCCMCACCTGGCAGGGAGGCTGAAGGGCCCTGAGCAGGGTGGGCCTGCCTCCCACGTGCTGTACAAGAGAGCAGTGGAACCCCAGGCCCCCCAGGCGCCCCCTGGCCTGCTGCTCACCAGGACCGGGCAGCCAGCCAGCCCAGGCCTGCAGGGCCTCAGTGACCACCTCGGGCTCTGGCACGGGCAGCACTTCTGTGGAAGACGCAAGAAATGTACGTAAGGCGGTTCTTCCCATGAAGGTAAAGATCTGGTGTCTGTGTGAGCCAATGGGAAACGCTGATTTCCTTCAAGACACACCTTCCTGCAAGATGTCGTCTGCAGCTGCCATCACGGCCCTGGAGCAGGGTTCTAGAGTTTGTTAGGTGCCAACTCTGGGTTTCAGGGTGGAGCACCCCTCCCCGGGAGATGGAGACTTTTTTCTCTCTCTTTTTTTTAAACAAACTGTTCCCTGGACAGAAGAGTGACACTCAGAAGCACAGAACCCACCAGACATCTTCAGAAGAACCCTGTCCCCTCTGCTCAGGGGTTCTGTATTTTGGAGGCTCCGGTTTGTTGAGGCCGACGTTGCTTCCTGCTGAGGCGATTTGTTTACGCATGCATTCCCAGGCCTCACCACGTCACACAGCACACCCACCAGGTGTCCCTCATCTGCAACTCACCACCAGAGTTTCAGGGACAGCTCTGTCTGGCTTGGCTCCTTAAGAGGTGGTCTGCTRTTTACGTTTATGTGGAAACCTCTCACAAAGTCAGGAATGCACCTTCCTGGAACTCCCCTCCTTCCTGGAGCTGTCCCTCGAGCGTCCCCTGATTGTCCCAGGTTCCCAGGGCGTCTGAAAACCCTGGCCTCCCCCACTCCTGCCTCCCCTGTGGCTGGTCCGATGGCTGCTCTACCAACCCCCCGAAGCAGAGGGGAGTCGGGGCAGGTGCTCAGCAGACCTTGGTGAACAGGAAGACAGTCACTTGGCCCCACCAGCCGGAGAAGCACCACTCCGGCCATCTGACCCTATAAATAAAGCCCATGGGACACATGCCTGCGGACTAGAAATCAGTGGGCTCAGTCTTCTGTCCCTGGACTTCCCTGGGGTGGTCCTGGTCTCCTGCCTCAGGGCAGTTCACACTCAGGAGGGCTCTTCCCTCTGCGCCTCGGGTTCAGGAACGGAGTCCTGCTTTCTAWGTCCCTCTGTCCCTCTGTGGAGTCGGCAGACTCAGGTAGATGGATTTGCTCTATGTCAACAGTGAGCCTGAGCCTGTGGGAGGGTGGACCTTCTGCTTCTCAGCCTCAGGCGTTGGCTGATGGCGGGTGCTTCGGTGACACTCCTGTTTACGAGACGTACTGTAAGCACCTGGGTGAGGGGGAGAGGTTTACTCTGAGGGGCCTGTGGGGGCTCTGGCCTGTCAGACCCCCACCTGGTGCTTCTGTCCCGGYGTCTAGCACCAGGGACCTCCGGCTGCCGTGCCCTGGGCTGCAGATGCTTTTGTTCTAAACCCACATTTCCACAGTAGAAGTAAGACCCAGGGCTCTGGGCCACGCCATCCAGACCCGAGGGCTTCTAGGAGGGGTTCCAAGGGGGTCATCTTCACTCCCTCTGCCTGCGCAGTGCCATCCTAGGACCCCACGGGCTCCMGCAGAGACTGGAGGGGTCCCACAAAGACCAGCCCCAGGGTGGCACTTGTGCCCACCTGGGTCACGTCAGTGTGATGGCGAGGGGTGAGAGCTCAGAAAGCTTTGGTGACGTCACTACCCCGCTCCCCAGGCTCATCTGGGCTTGAGGGGACCGCTGCCTTATTTCTCCCCCTGTGTGGCTTCACAGATGCACCCCAGCCCCCCACGGAGGACCTCTTCGTCCTTCCCGATGAGTACGAGTCTGTCCCCCGGTGCCGGCGCTCACTCCTCAAGTCCCACCGGAATCAAGAGCTGAACGTGGAGACCTTGGTGGTGGTCGACAGGAAGATGATGCAGAACCACGGGCAGGAGAACATCACCACCTACGTGCTGACCATCCTCAACATGGTAGGGTGGGCCGCCAGCACCGGCCTGGACGGCCTGTGTCCAGCTGGGTGGGCGTCTCTGGGGAAGAAACGCTCAGCGGGTGGCAACCCTGCTCTAGTGTGATCCTGTTGAAGGAGCCGTTCTCTGCACTTCAGAGGGTGTCATAAAGAGGAGACGCGAGCAGACCCTCTGCAAGCCCTGCAGGGTTTGGGGTTCAGTGGCTCTTCCTCTGCTAGGCCTCCCTAGGAAGGTCAAGGAGTTCAGTGCAGTAAGTTGTCAGCAGTCTCTGTGTTTTTAAGTGAGAATGTAGAAACACCCACTTTTTAGGAGTGCTGATGTTCAGGTGTTGAGTGTGAGGTTTTTAATCTACTACAAAAACTCTAAAGCAGTATGATCTGGCAGAACATCGTCTCACACAGTGTCCTCCTCTCTAACCTGCAGCTGCAGGGATTCTTCAGGAGCAAGGAGAGGGGTGCTGAGCCCACAGCACAGGAGTGAAATCTGGATCCCAGACGGCAAAGTCTGGGATGTTTGAATGTTTTCAAAAAAAGCTCAATGACACTATTTTGAAGCCATTTCTGGTTCTTCACCATCAGTAAGCAGCACCCGAGTGTCTCTCTGCACAGATCTGTGATTTTCATTGCTAGCATCACATTGGGCGGTCGAGTCGTGTGGTTATGAAGTCAGGGACCGAGGGAAGGTTCAGAAGGCGCCCAGCACGGCAGGGCTCTGGGCCCTCTTCACGGAGGGCCATAGCACCAGCCTGCTCCCAGTGAGGGTGGTGTCTGCGCCCCTGGTGTGGAGTTGTCCTCCGTACCTCCGTGTCTTGGGGCCACACTGTCCCTGCTGTTGACCAGGGACACTGCACTGATCCTTCATGTCTGCTTCCTGTTCCGTTGTCTCTCGAGGTCGCTCTGTTCTGCCATCGCCTTCTCACCACGTTCCCTCTTTCTCCCGTCCTCTGCTCTCCTCCTCACCAGTTCTCTGTGTGCCTGGGCTTCCTCACCAGGAGAGCCTGGGGCCTGCTTGGCTTAGGTGGTCATCCCTGTGAGTAAAGCAGTGCCCCTGTTCTAAGGAGCACACTTGCCCACCCAGGGCCTGGCCATCCCTTCAGTGGGGTTGAACAGGAGGTGAACCCCCACCTCGAGCCTTCACCTCCAGGAGCACATCATGAGGACTGACCAGTGGCCTTTTGATGTATCTCTGCCTGTCTGACGACTTGAGAGCATGGAAATTGCCCTCACCCTGGGGGACGCAGGCAGTGTCCCTGCAGTAGGGGACATGTGGCTGCTCAGGGTCTGATGTGGATTTGCTCTTCCAGGTGTCTGCTTTGTTCAAGGATGGAACCATAGGGGGAAACATCAACATCGCAGTCGTAGGTCTCATCCTTCTAGAAGACGAACAGGTACGGTGCTCTCAAAACCAGCAGCTTTCTTTTTCCCCAGAAAATTAAGTGAAAAATGATGCTTTTCCCTTACGGTAAACATCACATTCTGTGGATTCTTTACATCTCTTTCTCTTAGGAACAGTTGATTTTGCAGTCAGGTTTTTGTTTTTTTTAGTTGTTTTAAAGTGTGTGTGTGTGTGTGTGTGTGTGTGTGTGTGTGTGTGTGTATGTGTGCATGCACAGTAAGGAACACTCTTTTAATTGGCCTATGATTGGAAGTGGAATGGAAAGCTGCCTTAGACCTATGGGTGGGAACGCTGGGGATACGGGGTTTGGCCGCTGTGTCTGTGACCTTCTGGGGCCGGTTGGAGTGCAGCTCCTTCTGCCTTCTGCTGGAGGAGTGAAGATGCTGCAGCCTGTGACTGACCCGGGCTGAGGGCTGTGCTGCCTTACCCCATCACCTCTGCTCCTGAGCCGAGTGCCCGCACCTGACCTCACCACCTTTCCCCATGAAGACTCTGAATGTCTACCACTTACTCTGAGAGCACGTAGACSCCAAGTTCTGTGGGATCCCAGTAGCAGTGTGAGGAAGCACCTCRCTGTCCCCGTCCAGACCCCTGGGGAACACTCCAGGAACTCGTTCACAGTGAGCCCTYAGAGGCCCGAGTAAACAGTGGAGGGCACCTTGGTCATGAAAGGTGACCACTTGGGTTTCCCCACCCTGATGACTGACTCAGCAAAGGAGAGTGTGCTCTGGACCCAAGTGAGGACAGGTGTCCATTTCCACCTTGGAGACGCATCAGGGTTGCCTGCTAGCCACAGCTTTCTTGTTTGTAGAACAAGGAATTTTTAGACAGAACCTGAGCCCATTCATAAGCTGTAAGATCACTGTTTCCCCACGGGGTGAGGGGACGGGAGGAGGTRTGTGTGCCYGGCAGGGCTGTGTCCAGCCTGGCTRGTCAGGGAGGATTACCTCATTGTCCTTTTGGTGAGTGTGTGCCTGGGGAGAGCCCCAGACCAGCAGGGCTTCTCAGGTGACAGGTTAATTATTCCTTGTATTAAAACGTTTTCGCCTTGGAATCCATCCAAGCTGCAAAGAATAAGCCAGGTTATCTTTTGATCATACACCTGTGTTAACTTTAATCAGTGCCATATTCCTGGAAGTCTGCCRCTGAGGAATGCAGGCGCGCCACAGTGTGGACGCACAGCACTTAGCTTGGATGCATTTGTCTCTCCAGAAAAACAAAATCAACATTTAAGGAGAAAACATGTTTAGTGACCAAGAGGCACAGGTTTCGACCACACTCCAGCAGTGGAGTTCTCAACAAGACGGTGTACTGAAACTGAGGCCCCTGTCCTGATTCTCCTTGGCCACCGACATGGACATGGTCGCCTTCCTGTCTTAGTGGCTCAGAAAGCTCGTGGCAGCCTTCTCTGACGGATGCTCCTGCACACCCCGAATTCCTCAGTTCCCATGAGTTCCCCAGTTCTTCACTCTGACATATCCCTGTTCTTCTGCTAGAAGTTGGTGTTTATGGAATTCTTTCTGGAGAGTTCCCTTCTAGTTGAAGGGTGCCTCCCAGAAATAAGACCCCTCTGCTTCTGTCCTAGGATGGTTACTCAACGGAACACTGTAACAATGAACAGCGAGGGGGCATGGCTGGAGATACCACTTGCCAGCCGGGTTATGAAATGAGCATCCTATCACTGGCTACGCATGTTTGCATGTTTGTCTGTATAGGAAAACCATGCYTGAATGACTTTGTTACCTTATGTAACTCTGCCAATGTTTTCCAAAGGTTTTAAATGAAGAAAAAAAAAAAAGAAGATGCACCAATATTCTTTCTTGAATCACTGAACATGCATTCAGGCTCAGCCAGACATATTCCAATTGTTTATAAACAGAAAAGTACATGAGTCTCTGCACTGAATTTGTCAGGGTTTCTTTTGCATAAAATGCACACATTAGCTTACTGCTATCCGGGTCCACCTTTGTATTTGAAATCCAAGTCAACGATGATTGGTGGTGATGATAAGGTCTTGAAACATCTCCCTCCATGTTCATGGGACCTTGGCCTCTCTTGCACAGCCAGGGCTGGTGATAAGTCACCACGCAGACCACACCTTGAGTAGCTTCTGTCAGTGGCAGTCGGGATTGATGGGGAAGGACGGGACTCGCCATGACCACGCCATCCTACTGACCGGCCTGGACATATGCTCCTGGAAGAACGAGCCCTGTGATACTCTAGGTAAGACCCTCCAGCAGAGGCTGTGGGCCATGTGGGGTATGCCCTTCCGTGGGCCGTGTGGGTGTTGAGGGTTTCTGCCCTGCCCACATCCACAAGCCGCAGCTACTGCTGAGCCTGATTGTGGGGGAAAGGCTGCCTTCCCTTCACAGCTGGGGCTCAGTCCTGGAGCAGGCTCTTGTTCATCCAAGATAAAGGTTGCTCAGAGTTTGACTCTCCATCTCTTCTGATGTGGGACATAATTTTTTTTCCATTTTTTCTACCACACATGAGAATGGGCTAATAGATCCAAGTTATACACAGAAGATCTCACTAAGCAGCAGAAACAGCACATTTATGAATATTTATAAAGACAGCATAAGATATTGTGCTCTTCGTTTTCCCTTTTCTCTGTAAATATCTCAGTCTTAGCAAGTTAGCAAGCTTTAGTTATTTCTAAGGCTGGGCACAACCCAGAGGTGGGCTTTGTAAGGCAGTGGGCCCCTAACTCCAACACTCTGGAACCTTCTCTTACTCTCTTTCTTCCCCTGGTTCTCAGGGGAATGCTTTTTGTTGGAAAATCTCTCGGGCAGGATTCTGTCCAGCACAGGTATATCCTATTGCTCCCACAGTGGCTTAACTGCTTGTCCTTTAAAGGGGGCCTGCTTACAAGGCTGGCCCTTGGCTGTCCCTAGAACACTCAGATTTTAGGGTGGTCCTTAGCACTCCACCTAGGAGAGTGGCCCACTGTGCCTCACCATGGCCTGCGCCTACCCTGCTTTCCTTYTGGTAGTCTGCAGTGGTCCATGTCAGGCATGGTGCCCCATGACCAGCCTCCAGTAAGCCCTGGAGGCTGAGCCCCGCTGAGCCTCCCAGGTGCTGGACAGCACCTCACACTGGTGGTCACACTCACTGCTGGGGAGATAAGCTGTGTCCCAGGGGGGAGGGATCTCAGAAGTTCACCCCTGGTTCCCAGACTCTGCGCCATGTGACTTTTCCCTTGGCTGCTTTTGATCTGTCTCCTGCCGTAAGCCACAGCCGTGATGAGYCAGAGCCCCATCAGAAGTGAGAGAATCACGAACAGGGGTGGGCTCGGGGCCTCCCGTCACACCTGTTCTCCACGAGCTCTTCCAGTRGCTTTGTGAACCCAAGTGTAATAGAGAAACACAGTAAACCCTCTTCTGTTTGGCCCCAGTTACAGCCTGTGCCAGGAGCATGGCCTAGAAACATGAGCCATCTTCCATGGGACGGAGTCCTTGGGCTCCCAGGTAGACCACTTCCCCACATTCCCACACAGGATCACATCCCTCCACGACTGTCCAAGGGTGGTCCGTTTCATGTTTCCCCCAATGAAGGTGAGGACCAGATTGTATCATAGGGCAGAAAATAGATATTTACTTACTCTTTATATGACAACACTAGCATAGATTGTCTCAMTCTTTTGCCCCATAGGATTTGCGCCCATAAGTGGAATGTGTAGTAAATACCGCAGCTGTACGATTAATGAAGATACAGGACTGGGACTGGCCTTCACCATCGCCCATGAGTCTGGACACAAGTAAGCCCATCTCTAGGGAGGGTGCAGCCTGGGCCTTTCCTAACTGGGTGATCACCATAGGGTCACCAGTGCATGAAATCATGTCTCTAGAGGGAGTTCACATGCAGACTGTGAGATGTCAGTTGTAAAATGCTGTCATTAGACACCCGACTTCAGTGTTGTAACTGGTTTTGAACTGAGGTGGCATCTCATTGCACCAGGAGGCTCGGTCTAGCTGGACAGGGTCCTAGGCAAGTGGCTCTCAACAAGGGTGCTGTGATGCTGGCGTCCTCTTTGTACATGAAAACCTTACACTTACACCTGTAAAATGGAGGGGGGGGGGAGTCTAGCAATTACTTATGGCAGCTGTGAGTCTCAGGTAAGCTTTCTTTGTCTGATATTGCTGTAGCTGATTAACTTTATGGATCTGTTCATTAAAAGGGTTGAAGGGTCCCACTTGCAGTCCAAGMAGCCAGGGTTTCCTACAGGTGACCTCATGAGCACACAGGCCAGRAGTGGGGTGTAGATAGTGTCCTGTGTATTGAAACTGTATTGGAATTCAGCCCAGAAAATTTCCTAAACATTTCAATTTTTCTTTTTCTTTTTCTTTTTAAATTTTAAGCTGATTTTACTGGCAAAAAAAAAATCAAAAGGGGTGTTTGTGATTTGTGTTTCTGCAAAGCTAACTTTTCTATCCCCTGTTGAAAAATAGACTGTCACAGACTCATGTTACCCACACCCATTCAGGCGCGCGTGTGTGTGTGTGTGTGTGTGTGTGGTGTGTGCATATGTTGTGTATGGTGTGTATGTGTGGTGTGCAGTGTGTATTGTGTGCATGTATTGTGTGTGTTGTGTACAATGTGTGTGTATTATGTGCATGTGTYGTGTGTGTGGTGTGTGTATTGTGTGCATGTGTTGTGTATGATGTGTGGTGTGTATGGTGTATGTATTGTGTGCATGTGTTGTGTGTGCATTGTGTATAGGGGTGTGGTATATGTATTGTGTGGGTGGTGTGTGTGGTATGTGGTGTGAGTGTATTGTGTGCATGTGTTGTGTGTGTGGTGTGTATGTTGTGCATGTATTCTGTGCATGTGTTGTGTGTGGTGTGTGTATATTTTGTGTGGTGTGAATGGTGTGTGGTGTGTGCAGTGTGCGTGTATTGTGTGCATGTGTTGTGTGTGTAGTGTGTATGTTGTGCATGTATTGTGTGCATGTGTTGTGTGTGGTGTGTGTATATTTTGTGTGGTGTGAATGGTGTGTGGTGTGTGTGGTGTGTGGTGTGTGCAGTGTGCGTGTATTGTGTGCATGTGTTGTGTGTGTGTGTTGTGTGTGGGGGTGTGGCATGTGTATTTTGTGTGTGTGTGTGGTGTGTGTGCGTGTGTGTTCACATTTATGCACACACATGTGTGACCTCTGTCTGTGGAACTACATGGGGCTCTGCAGCTTAGACTCTGTGTGACCTGAAAATGACGCTCCATATCCCATTACTGATCCCTTTATCATTAGAGGTAATGATTGACTATTTCATTGCCTAGAAAATTACACCTGTACTCTATAAGGCTTTCAGTTAAATCATAATTGTATTTTTAATAGTCTGCTAGAGTAAAAACTTCAAAAACTTTCATTATTGTAACGACACGAGGATATTGCTGTCCTCTGAACCATMCCTGAATTTAATTAAACTATCAAGGCAAGAAATATTTAAGTCACCCGGACTGAGCCGTCTGCGTTTGATAAGCGGTTGAGATATGGGYGCTGACTGTGCAGGCTGCTGCAGGAGGTGAAGCTGACTGACKCGAATCTGGATGCCTCTAACAGGGCTCTCCATCCCCAGGTCCACAAGGACCAGAGTCGGCCAATTGTYAGTAGTTCCTTTCCTCACTCATCCTGGGCCATATGGCTGCAGAACTTCCTTGAAATGAGAGAAYTGTAGATCACTTGAGAGTGGGATTGCAGGTGGGTGGGAAGGAAGGAGCTCCCATGAGCATGGAGAGTGATGGGAGATGACCTCCAGAAGCAACCCCGTCCTCTGGACCAGCGGCAGTTCAGAGGACACTGCAGGAGAGAGACCAGAGCTCTAAGAGCCAATGTTGTCAACGAAACAGCTTCTGCTCATGCGGAGAGAACAGGAAATGTGTGTTTTGGGCCTAAGCTAAGTACGCAAACCAGCGATCGCTGTTATGATAATAGTAGTAGCAGATATGATGGCAATGCCTGTTTTGGATCAGGCAACTTTTGTAAAATTTGTGGAGCAATTTCACAGACAACTCAAACTGAGGGAACCACTTAGGAAAATCKCTTAAACTGCTTTCCCCAWCTCAGGGGTCCAGGCTGAGTATYCAGCAAGTGTGTGTGTGTGGAAWGGGGGTGAGTGAGCCAGAATGTGAGCGGGGAGGGGGAAAAATGAAGGGTGGAGCTTTAGGTCTGACAGCTCCAGATGAGAAAGGGCACAGCACATGACATCAGTAATAAACGTCACACATTTTACTTTAATTGACTTGAAGACAAGCACATTTATTGCATTCACGTATTTTGTTCTATTTCTTGAGGAAGGAGTTTCAGGTTTGATGCAGGGATCAGATGCTTTGGCAMAGACATTGTGCCTTTACCATATCTTTGGCAAGGAGCTCCAAGGAGGGTCAAATTTGAATTCCACATGTTGAGGGTTAAAAAGTAATTTTTTATCTATTAGGACTTTTGCTGTGGAAGATGCATGAATGTCTTGGTTCAGAGGTGACAGCCATGTCCTGGGTCCTGTTCCTGATGGAGCATGTATCTAGCTTCACACTCGATGCTCTCTCACCTTCAATGCAACTCAAGGAAGGATCGKAGTTTATGCCCATCCACTTTCTTCTAAGTTGTTTTCATCCACCACCTACTTGCCCTTCATACTGGGGAATCAGACCTAACAATAGAAATTGTCAAGAACAGGTGGTTTGGAGAGACTGGAGCCAGAATCCAGATGTGCACTCTGCTCCAGTACCAGGCGATGAACCAGGATTGCTGAGTGAACACGGTTCAAGGAGAGTTTTCTAGTTATATTAAATGTCTTGAAGCAGGACGTAGAGTTTGCTAGAAGTGGTGTTGAAAACCACACAGATGCACAGAGGGCAGACGGCACCTGTTGAAGAGTGTGTCTGGACACAAGTCCATGGGAGAATTCCCTTTGCTAAGAGAAGTCATACCATTTGGTGGGCAGGGCACAGATTCCAGACTCATCGGTTCTATCATTTGGGGGCTGGGGCCTCCAAGAAAAGTGAGATGGCATGAAGGCCCCCCTCCAAACCCCAAATCTTGCAATCAAATGAGAATGATTTCAGGCATGTCACTCAGAGTAATGGGAACAAGTTTATTGAAGCGATAGGCTCACCTGAGTGGTCACTGGAGGCAGGTGGGGTGTGGCTRGAGGAAGTGGCTCATTGGGGGTGTGGCTGTAGGGCATGTATTTTGGATCTGGAGAGTAGAGTCTCTCTCTGCTTCCTGATCATCATGTGAGCTGCTTCCCTCTGCCTCACTCTTCTGCCGTGAGCCCCGGGGAATGGAGTCTACTCTCTATGGACTGAGACCTCTGAAACCGCGAGCACCCAAATAAATTTTTTCTCCTCTATAGTTGTTCTGGTCAGGTCCTTTAGTCACAGCAGTGAAAAGGCTGATTAACAGGGCCTGTATTTCTCCTGTAGTTTGCAGAGAAATGAAACATATCCTGCCAACTAAACCAGGATGGGCTGCAGGTAAATTGCTTTTCAAAAGTGAAAGCAGCTTGGGAGGCTGAGACAGGATTTCAAGTTCAGAGTCAGCCTCAGGAAAAAAAAAGAAAAAGAAAAAAGTGAGTCATGAAGCAACTCAGTGAGACCCTGTCTCTAAATAAAATACAAAAATAGGGCTGGGGATGGGGTTCAGTGGTTAAGTCCCCCTGAGTTCCATCCCTGGTACCAAAAAAAGAAAAAAAAAGTGAAAGCATGTGGAGTCAGCACCATAGGCCCAGACTATAAAATTATTCCCTTAACTTGGTGTTCCCACCATGCCCTCTGTCTGCCCCCGTCACTCTCAGAGCTCACAGAGCATCACCCATCAGCTTTTACATGGGCTTGCCATCTGCAATCAGGAGAGCCCTGGGAGCTCCCYGCCACATGTGTACGTGCAATATGAACCAACTAGCTGAGCTGCACATGTCCATTTTACAGAGTAGGCTTCAAGAGTTACCCTGTGCTACCATCTCAGACCACAAAGACACCACCAAAGCGTGATTACCGTGCTGAGAGGATGCATGGTCCTCCAGGCCTGGCTCCCYTGAATCTACGCACCCAGTCACTGGGCGTAGTTTGCATCTGCCCACAGGGCATTGTGTAGGAATCTATTGAAAAAGCAACCCGTGCCCTCCCAAATTCTAAGAAAGAAGACAAAGTAGACATGCCATGCRAGGGTTGGAGTAAAGAGGGGTGTGGGCATTGCAAGAGGTCATGCGGGGACAGTCAGGGAGCACTTGGAAGAAGCAGCGTGGGCAGGCAGCCCCATCGCTGGGCGATGAGATGGTGTAGCTCAGTCGCACTCCCTAGGGATGGTAGATGACGTTGGGGTGTTAGGGGGTGATGGGCATCCCACCTGTTCATGACTGTGCTCTGCCACCACCCTGGGACAAGGAGGTGCTTGGTGACTTTAAGGACCTGTAGAAGACTGGAGCAAGCTGGCCCCTGCTCCATCATCTGGAGCCCTGGCCGACCAAWGGCTTCAGCTCTTACCAAGTTTATTTATCACTGTTCCTCTTGAGGGTTCTTGTTTCTGTATCCAAAAAGTATTTGAAGTCCATTGGCTCCCCCCCAATACATACATATACATATATACACCACATGTGCACAAGTGACTTCCACATGTCGAGGCATGTGACCAAGACCATATTCGAAGCAAGACAAGGGACAGAAGTTCTGAATTTTCCTCTGTGAATTGCACAGTGCTGGGCATGCTGTACAGTTTATGTAGACTTTATAATTTGGCATCTGAGGAAACTGAAGCCCAGGGGGCTAAACAATTTACCTGTTATCAAACAGCTTGTGCATGACAGAGATGAGACCCTCCAGTCCACAGTCTGCAGGTGTCTGCCACTCCCAGCTGCTCTCTCCATCTCAGCCTCCTGCTCCTCTTGAGGATGAGCTACACCATGCATGACRCCCATGCTGGGGCCTCCCCCAGAACACCATCATCACTCCAAGGGTTGAGTGAGCACCCTAATGACCCTGATGACACTGTCTTGTTGGTCACCATGGAGAGCCTGCCCTGAGCCCTGGAGCCCTGGCAGTGGAGCCAATGAGAGGGTCTCGGCTCTTCCCAAACTTAACAGATTGGTAAAGGATGAAGGAAGGAAATCTATTTTATTATTTTAAGTATGGGGTGATAACCACTTAACTAAAGTGTTCTGATGCACAGGAGCAAATAAAATTATCTAGCATGTATACCTTCAGTAGTAATTTTTTTTCCTTGGTTGGTTGACAAATACCAACCTCATCTTCCAGATGTGTTCTGTTCACATTAATGTTAATATGAGATATGACCGCTGTGGTATTCTTATGCTGACTTACTGGCGTTCTTCGTGTCTGTGCATGGTATACTGAGGGACAACGCAACTTATGAAATAGTGATGCTGGGTGTGTAAGAAGCCAGSTGCCAGATCCTGACCCCTCACCTGCTGCATCAGAAGCCACCAGAGAGGCTGTGGTCAGCCACATTGTGCAGTGGATCTCAGATCTCTAACGCACTGCAGAGTTTGGAGAGTCACGGAAAATGCCTTTAATGAGAAAGCTTAAAACCCACCAAGGTGTCMGTAGACCTAGGCCTTGGCACTTTCAGTTCCTTAGAAAGGTAGGCGCGRTGGAGTGGGTCTTTCTAGGCAGTTGCTGGACCACGTGGCATCTTCTTCCCCAGCAGGTGGAGGGCCAGCCAGGGCGGGGAGGGAAGCATTTCCTCTCCACGGCTGCCTCCCAGGGCCGCCTCCCAGCTGGGATTTGAGCCCAGCTCCTCTGCTCAGCCATGACACATTTCCCCTGCCACAAGGTCTCCTTGGCCCTGATGAATCGCCTTTAATAGAGCTTCAGAGAATGGGCGGAGGCTGGAATGACCACATCCACATCACCCTCAGAACTGGTCGGAGTTTTGCAGAAATCCCACAGTACTTGCAGGCCACATCTCCTTGGAGACACTCTTCTGTCCTGCTCAGGTCTCACCACTGCATGTCCAGCAAGGGCCCTGACCTCCTGGTGTCTGATCTCAGGTCTTCACTCTGCACCTGGACAGGGTCTCTCTCCAGTCCTCAGCTTCGCTGACCTGATAGTGCACCCACCTGTGGGGTGTGGTGAGGTTTAAGTTAGAAAATGTGTGTCGTGTGCTTGACATGGTGCCTGTGCCCCAGTGGGTGTCCGTGAATGTTATTTTCGCTCCTATTATCATGCAGTGCTAAGTGGAACAGCTCAGTGGACCAAGGAGTTCAGTCTCAGCCACAAGTGCAGAGCCTCTTGTCCCCAAGTGGAGCCACCTCCCCTGCAGGCGTTTCCTGTCCCCACCCTTCCCTCCCCTCTTCAAGGATTTGGGCCTCAGAAAGCCCCCAGATCCAGTGGCTGCCTGTTCGTCCTTGTTTTTCTCTCTTGCCTTTCTTTTTTCTCTGTGTCTCACTTAGTCAGGACCCTGTGCTCAGGGAGTTCCACAATGACTGGKTAGGAGACATCAGTGCCCATAATGGCTTGGCTGTCCTAATAGGCATTTGCCTTAATGGAGCTCCCAGACCCCCTGCCTTCCTCCCCAGGCACAATGCCGGGGTCCTCTGGGAGAGCTGACGACGGCAGCACAAGGCTGTCCAACCAGGAAACTCTAGGAGGTCAAGCGGGAGTAGGCTCATGGTAACAGGAGGTTGCAGCTCCGGTCAGTGTGGCCCTGATCTGTGGCCACTGCAGTTGAGCTGCCCCCAGGGCTGGATCCCTGGTCTGGTTTCACTCAAGAGTAATAGGAGCAGCTTCAGGAAATGTCCACAGATGAATCCACCATATTCACCCTTTTGTGTTCTGGGGAGAAGCCCCTCCAGAGGGAGGAGAGACATGGGTCAAGGAGTCACGTCCTGCCCAGCTGCCACCCCACAGMCTGGTCTTGGCATGAGAAGGAGGCACACAGGGTGGCTGTGGAGATGGAGTGTGAGTCCCTTGACCAGAGCAGCAGGGGCTCAGTCGTCCTCTAGTTGCACTAAGCACCACACACTCCTGGGGAGCTTATTTGGCAACCTCAGATACCTGGACGGCTCTTCCCCAGGTCAACAATTCCTGGCTGGGAGCCTGTTTTTTGCATTTTCTAAAGTTCTTAGAAATTTGGACAGTCCCAGTGATCAAAGAGTGCAGAGAGAAGGAAGCAAGATTGACCAGTGTTAGCTTTATCAAGTCACAACAGACTGTCCTTCCCACGTGCTTGAAATGWTCCTTTTTAAAACACCTGCCCTCAGCGGGCACCTGGGCACTTGCCCTGATTGGGTGCCCATGCATGCTTTTGATCACTCCAATGAATGGTCTACTCTTCAGAACACAAGAGACCCGTGCCCTCCCAGGCCACGTTGGCTTCTGCCTTGGCCTGCCTTGCTTGAAGCTTGAGGGAGGATTCCCAGTCAGACCTGGGGCTGTCGGAGCACATTTGACACTGGGAACTGCACCGTGCTCTGAAGAGCCATCTCTCTCTCTCTCTCTCTCTCTCTCTCTCTCTCCCATAGCTTTGGCATGGTCCACGATGGAGAAGGGAACAGGTGCAAGAAGTCAGAGGGCAACATCATGGCCCCCACGCTGGCAGGACGCAACGGAGTCTTCTCCTGGTCTCCCTGCAGCCGCCAGTACCTGCACAAGTTTTTAAGGTATGAGCACTTGCACCAACTGTGTCACCTCCCTGCGCCCTTGGTGGTCACTCCCTGCTCAGCCTCCTGTGCACGCAGCTCGGGTGGGTTTGCCAGCCTGGGCTCCTCCCAAGGTGTCTTGAGATTCAGCTGACCGTGGAGTTGACCAGACACTTTGTTACAGCATGAAGGTCTGACAGCCAATCCCAGGCTGATCTTGAGACTTCAAGGAAGTCCACGTAGCATCAATCACACCAAGGCATTTGTCAGCATTTAATGTTTTGGAAAGTTTTCTTACTTTTATAAATAGGCATCTTCAATCGATTAATAGGAAAATATCAATCATGTGTGGACAGGTTCCCAACAGTGAGTAAGAATAATTGGCTAGCTTTTGGAGATGAATCTGCTCTCCTTTATTAATAGTCTAGCATCAGGCAGATGGAAAAAAAATGCATGAAGAGGGAACCCAACTGGCCTGAAGTTGTCAGCACTACTTGACTCCATTCTTGTAGAGTCGTGAGGACAAATACTTATTTGGAGTAAATTCATCAGCCCACTCAATGAATTCCTATGTCATTTTCTGTTACCAGACACAAAATCATCACGATGGCTCATGTCTGCAGCTGGGAGGTCCATGACATAGGGAAATTTTAGCTTCTTATTTCACAATTCATGACAACATGGCCTCTCTTTACTTTAAAAATAATTAAGCGTAATAATAATAATAATAATAATTAAGCGTGTTCCTGTGTCCAATGGAAACAGTGCGCTCAGTCCTCAGCTTGCTCGGCTGTGTGAACTCCACCTTCAGGAAGGCAAGCGAGTCACAGCTGGTCCTGGTTTCTGCAGAGCCCGTGCAACTCTGAGGCTGGAGAGGAGCACCGCCATGTAGTGGGGAGAAGGCAGGGGGGAGCCCAGAGCTGAGCACGTCTTCAACCCTGGAAGGGGGCTCCTTAACAGATAATGCCTCCTTCTCAGAAACCTCCTCTTCTTACTTGGAAAATGATGAGCTAGCACCAAATCATCTCTCRAGTTCTTTATAAAATAGTGGACATTTAAACGTGCTCCTGACCTTGGCCATATGTGGTGTTGATATTTCTCACTTGTGTCATGTGGTGGGGTGTGCACTGGCAGCTTAAGGAGGTGATTAATGAGGGCAAATACCATTTTAWCATGTCTAATGGCCACTTGACAAACCTCTTTGGTAAAGTGCCTGTTCAAATCTCTTGAGCATTTAAAAAAGCCGAGGCCTTCTTTTCCTTATTTCTTTATACACCCATGAACATTTTGATCCATCCTAGAATATAGGGAACATAAACATCTCTCACTCTGAGGCTCCTACTTGCTCTTCCTGTGTAGTCTTTTGATAGGYGGGGGTTTTCATTTTCCTTGTGGAGTCTGAATCATCTATATTTTCTTTAGGGTTGATACTTCCTATAAACCACTGAGAAAAGATGTTTTCTCATTCCAAAGTCTTAAATATAGTTTTCCAAGTAATCTCCAAGTTTTATTGCTTTGCATGTCACATGGATGCTACTGGATATTGTGTGTCAGGCAGACAGCAAAGTCAAAATTCATTTGTCCAAATGAATGTTGTGGTAGATACTTTGTAAATGATCAAACGACTTTCCTTTGGTACCCATTCTGATGGGATGAGAGTTCCTGTGGCTTCACAACCTCATCAACAGCTGATGCTGTCAGGGTTCTGGATTCCAGCCATCTTGGTAGGTGTGCAGGGGAACCTCACTGAGAGTTTACATAGCAATTCCCTAATCACCCACAATGTTGGACATCTTTTATATGCATGTCATCTGTGTATATTCTTTAACAAAGTGTCTATTCAGAGCTTTTCTCTCTCTTTGAGTTTTTGTTTTGTCTTATTTTCTTATTATTGAATTTTAAGTGTTATTTATGTATTTTATAACAATCCTGTATCAGGTGTGACTTTTGAAAGTCTTTTCTCCCAGTCTGTGGCTTGTCTTCTCATTTCCTTGTTAGTGCCTTTCACGGAACAGAAGTTTTGATTTTAATAAAGTCTAGCTTATCACGTATTATCAAGTATGCCTTCGGTGTTAAATCTTAAAAGGACATCAAGATCATGGCGATCATGGAGGCGTTCTTCTATGTCATTTCCAAAGGTCTAATAATTTTACACTTTATATTAAGTCTATGATCCCATTTTGGGGAAGGGTGTGCAGTCTAGTTTCCTGTAATTGTACAGGTTCTCTTCGTTCTATATTGAGGCTAAAGAGCCCGTCTTAGTTAATTTTCCTATGGGGCATGAGGTATGGACCAMGCTTCTTTTCTTCATAAGCTAGTCCAATTTTTTTCAGTACTATCTAATGCAAAGGACAGATTTCCTTTTCTCAATTAGATTTGCAACTTCGTCAGAAACTTAACTGACCTGTGGCGCTGCTGTCTTTCTGGCATCCCCATTCTGTTGTGTTGATCTGTCTGTCTTTTTGCCAAGATGACAATGGCTTGTTCACCACAGCCTCACTGTCAATCTTGAAATCAGGTACTGTGAGCCTCTAAAGTCTCCAGATTTTTCTTTTGGCCTGGAGATGTCCAGTTGTCCTGGCAGTGTTTACGGAAAGCGCRTCATCCCTTCCTCCTTCTCTTGCCTTCCTCCCAGGTCAAGAATCAGTGGCCGGGTGTATGTGGCTCTGTTTGGGCTCTCCCTGATCTAGGTGTGTCCTTCCACCTGCTCCGCGTTTTCCTGGTACCGTGGCTTCTCCGTGAGTCTTGCGTTGGGCAGGGTCAGCTCTCCAGCTGCATTCTCCTTCAGCGCTGTGAGAAGAGTTCTGAGTACTTAGCCTCTCCTTGTGGGCTTTAGAATCAGTCTGTACATCTACAAAATAACTTGCTTGAATTTTGTTAATAAGTTTTCACCAGTTATAGGTTGGGAGGTATTGAAATTTATTGAAAGGATTTCGTTGCTATTTGCGATCATAGAAACTTTCAAATATCACCCTAAAATGCACAGATTACTCCCAAACCATCCTGGTAGGGAATGTAATGCTCCATTTGTGGAGGAAGTGAGCATTAGTTGGTCTTTAGCCATCTACTAGTGAACTTCACTCGAGTTAGATTCCTTCTGGATTGGAAGGTCTGGACAGAAATCCCCTGAACCTAGACATTTGCTAGTGGAAATGTGGTCTTCCCTGAAGGTCCTCTAGAGGGTCTAAGGTATTACACAGACTGTTCCCTGCCTAAAAGATAAGAGGGGAGGCAGAAAGGAAAGGAAGAAATTCCAGACTGAAATAGTCTCTTTGCATTTTGATTTTTACASTGCCTGGTTTCGTCTTTGGATGGTTTCTGGCAAGAAGTGTACATTTTGTTATAGGAACTTCTCACATTGAACATCTGGCTTTAATTATTCAGTTACACTTTTCCCCCTGATAAGTTTGAGRAATCTAACAAAGAACAAATTGCCTTCTTGGAAAAGGTGAAATTTATTATTAATAATCTCAGAAATGTGTGCTGCTGTGTTTAAATATGATCAGGATAAATGATACAATGAACCACAGGAAAAAAGTTTCCTTCTATGCAAAATAGTTTGCACAATTGCATGAGATAGAGATTTGGTTGATGGGACCTCCTTGGTAACCCTCCYCATTTGCCCATCTCTTCTTTGTTTCAGCACTACCCAAGCAGTGTGCCTTGCTGACCAGCCAAAGCCTGGAAAGGAATACAAGTACCCCGAGAAGCTGCCGGGAGAGTTATACGATGCAAACACACAGTGCAAGTGGCAATTTGGAGAAAAAGCCAAGCTATGCATGCTGGATTTTAAAAAGGCAAGTGATTATTGGCCAACGCTCAATGCAATATGATTCACAAAATCATTTTATTTAGTGTAACTGACATTGATGAATTCAGAATTTATTGGGTACCTACCAAATGTCAAACCCTCTGTGTGTTAGGGCTGGCCCCGCATAACAGGAAACACATGTTTTACTGGCAGAGAAGATGACAGTAGATACTRCTGTGGGTATCAGTTTTCATTTGAGAACCGACTGGGCCTGTTAGGTGGGATCTCTCTCTGATTTATCATGTGGGAGCTCCACAAGAACTTTTAGCTGGGGTAAGTCAGCAAATTAATATTCTGCATTTTTTTCAGATGATATTAAGAAAACAATGTTCTCTCTACTCCCTCCCTATATAAGATAATTTATTAGAAAGCAGCAGCCTATGCAGGGCTTCTGATTATTAAATGCCTCGAATAAAGTATTTATAGAGCAGKTTCTCATAAAAGATGGTGTCTACCCCAGCGACATCATTTCCTACAGAAATTCCTCATCTAACGCAGACACATGCTTTTGTTAAGCSGGGAAAATGGAGATTTAGGAGCCTGCTCTACTGGACCACAGAGAGCTTCTCAGGAATTAAATGAAGGTAACTAGATTGGGGGTTTCTTCTATTCTAGTTTATAATGAAATCAAGAGGAAAATAGAAAAAGAATACAGTCCTGCAGCAACCCCACCCCCYACCCCAACACGTGGGAATGTGCTGGGAAACCCCAGGTTAAACCCGGGTCGTAATCCTTCTTCTGAACTCAAGCAGGCTCCCAGGAGGGGCACGTTGGCGTGAGTCAGGTCGCCCACACCCCGGTGTTGCCTGAGACCTGGCAGGAGATGGGAATTCCCTGAGGGCTTTGTGTTGCCTGAGACCTAGCAGGACATGGGAATTCCCTAGGGCTTTCTTTCTCGATTGTTTCTCTTGTGTTTGTTGAGGAGAAGAGACAAAGCACCAAAGTTTTCCTTCAAAGATGGGGTTTTCCAGATTGTGCTCCCTTCTCCTCATGGTATTGCTYTGTGACCACAAACCATGTCCCTTGTGGTATCCTAAAGCCATCTGGAAAACAATTAYCAGTCAAATTCAGGATGTTTGTTGATTTTTGAGGGCATAGTTACATGCAGTGAAATACATTAAGTATAAAATTTAAATTTGACAAACACGTGCACCTGTTACCAGCRTCCCTTTCCATAAAGTCTTGAACACTTAAATGTGAATTCTGAGCTGCCCAGGTATATTGTTTAAGAAACACCTATTTTTATTTGAAAATATCATTCACAGCTCCTGTATCCTGCATTATATTTGCTATCAGTCATGGCAACTTCTTGGAGATGGGTGTTCTAATTGCTGATGATGGTTGTGTATGTCCCTATTTCCCTCTCTGCTTTCGATTTTGTTTTCTATATTCTGAAACTCCATAGGAGGTGTGTATGTATTTAAGATTGTTCCGTCTTCTTGACTCTTCTGTTAATTTATAATAACAATTTTGGTCATATTACTCTTCTTAAATCCTAATTTGTTTTATATTTAGATAGCCATATTAGCTGACTTAGGAATCCTATGCACATAATAATTTTTTATCCTTTTATTTCTAATTTGCTTGTATTTTGTATAAAATGTGTGTTGTAAGCATTCTTTTATTTGGTATTACTGCTCTGTCCTGTTGAGCAATCTCTGACCTTTCATTAGAATGTTCAATTGTTCTGTAATTAATTACATTAAAATTATTGATATAGGGAAGTTAAATCTGCCATTTTGCTCTTTGCTTTTTATTTCATTTCTTTTTCTTTTGTGATTCCTGCGTTCTGCCTTGTGGAAGAAATTGCTTGTTATAGATTCTGTTTGTTAACCTCTACTTGCTTTTTGGCTCCACTTTCTAGTGCTAGTGTGTGGCTGCTCTAGAGGTTACTGTGTGCAGTAACTTCTTAACAAGAGTCTGCACAGCCTCTTGGTGTGTGGTAAAGGACCCTCACCACACGTCAGTCCATGTACAGCTGTCCATGCTGTCTGTAGTGTGAAGATCCCTACTGCCCACACTTTACCCATCACTGCCACATTTACTTCGATGCATATTCATGTTATAAGCCAYGTGATGCAATATCATATTTTTTGTTTAAAATAGTTATTTATAACATTAAGACAAGAAATGACTATATTTTATATTTCCTTATATATTTATCATTATGTGTTTATGTTTTCCTATAGATCTCAGATTCAAATTGCTATCATTTTCTTTACCCTATATTCCTAAGGCCTCTTTCTATGGAATAAGTTCCCCTAGAATTTGTATGTGTGTGTGTGTGTGTGTGTGTGTGTGTGTGTGTGTGTGTGTCTACGTTCTTGGGTGTAATTTCAACGGATTTCTCTGTCCACTGATGCAGAGTGATGATGGGAATTAGCGATAGGAGCAGCCTGCCGGGTGGAACTTGGTTACAGGGCATTGCACATCTCTCCATGGTGTCATCTGTATCTTCTGAGTGCCGTACAGGCTGTCTAAGGAGATGAAACAACYGTGCTGAAGGCCTCCTCGAGTCTTCAACTCAGCCATCTGAAATGCTGGTTTGGGGTGTTATGCCTTATGTTCAGCTCAGTCACGTYGTTATTACTGAAATTGGTCTTTGTYAACAAAACTCTGAAGTCACAGGTCGAGTCATGAGCGAGCACCCTCCCTAAAGCTGCAGAGAAGGTGGCAGGAGACCCTCCCCACACAGGGTTTGGCTCTTTTCTGCCACGTGAAGCACTAGTGTCACAAACATTGGGTCTTTACATTACTACTGTGCTCCATCAACATAGCTCYGTGGCCTGCTGTCTGAAATATAACTAGCTGGAATTACTTGAAATCAGATCTCCTCCGTGTGCTGGGTCCTGTGGCTAAGTTAGGAGCTCCCCCACCCCATGCAGCAAGTCTCACATTACTGCTGCCTGGACACTAGAACCGTRATTTAACAGGATCCTTACTCCAAGAGGACTCCTAGTTCCCTGAGGCCACCACGGCACACAGCAGTGATGCTCTAACACCGACATTGTAGGTTAGGTCCACAATTTAGAAGTCGAGTCAGTGTGGTAAATGTTAGAGCAAAGGGCTTGGGGTTGTGTAGTGGTGGTTTAATGTTCATTTCCTCGCCTAACTCTTTGTGATACTACAGCATTTACTGGGGTGTCCAGACAAAGTGCCATATTTTTTATGGCAGACAATTAAATCTGTAGGATGCCAAGGTCTCSAGTGCTATTGCTAATGTTGAACAGGGACATGGATTGTTTGATATGTCAAGTGTGTCTAATGTAAAGTGTATTCCTGCCTGAACACTGGAATTGGGCACTGAGTGGGTCCCAGGTTGAGGCTGAAGTGCACAGAGGGTCTGAGCCAGGGTGCAGGAGAGCTAGGGACGTCCCTGCTCCGGTGGTGAGCTGGCACCAGCATCCTGCATTTGAAGGCTTTACACTTAGCTGAGTTTGAAACTGTTACCTGTGATAGTATCTGCCACCCTGTTTCTTTATTATGCATAATGCTTCCAAAAACTAAAACATTAAGAATGTTCTGGAATCACCTTGGATGAGAGCTATATCATCTTACGGTCCAGTCCTTCCTTCAGTTCACTGATCATCATTAACTTCATCATATACTAAAACTTTTCCTGCTCATACTGTCACTTGTTTGTACAGGAACAACCAAGTACATGTTCGACTTGTTGAGAAAGCATTTTCTGACAGCCTGCTAGGTACCCAGCACTGCACCACGTAGTGACCATGAACATACTAGAATCATTTGCACCATTTACCTTGCATCATCTTGAGTAGTCTTGGGCCCTGAGAATGAGCCCCCTAGCCCTGCAGTCACAGCAACCACTGAGTGGCTCTGTGATGGCAGGATGAGTGGCGCTGTGATGGCAGGATGAGACCCGTGACTTGCTAGAACACCCTCAAGCCCTTAGGAGTGCAGAGATCGTGCAGTGGTTTAGCAGCTGTTAGGTCCAGGCCCTGAGCTGGGCATGCTCCCTGTGCCCACTACATCCAGCCTCTGGACATGTTGGTGACTGGCGACCCTCATACACACAGTGAGGACACAAGGCCCTGGCTGCCCCAATCCAGTCCTCCTAATCCACACCAGTCTGTCTCTCTGGGATGCCCACTTCTGTGCTGGACCCCTGTGGCCATCTCCCACCTGACCCAGCACACCAGCAGCTTCCTGGTCTGCCTCTGTTCACTGCACTCTCTTCTTCCATGTTCAGACCCAGCGTCCTGCATCAGTAGACCTCTGTGTCCCTCCACCCAGAGGCCTCTGTGGGCCACCACTCCAGTGCAATTGTGCCACCTGCTGCCGCTCTCTGGGCCCYGGCTCTCACAGAGCAGCTGTAGAGCTCTTTATCCCCCTCTGAGAAGGACCTGAGCCAAACAAAGTGCCAGCCACCAATGTGACACATTTGTCCCAGGAGTACTTAAAGATCCTGGGGATTCACAAGAAAATGGCACTTGATGGCACAGTGATTRTGACCATGTGAGATTTTTATGAATGGCTCAGAATAAAAGCAACTGATTTCTGAATTAAAACATTGAAAGCTCACTTGTAAAGATTCCAAGTTCCAGAAGTTATTTTTTTATTGAGGAGATACAGGCAGAAAAATACAAAGCTGTGTCTTTAATAAATACCTAACTTCTTAATGTGTGGTGCATAAACAAGTGTAAGGGGACTTCAGAACAAGTTTCATGACAGTAAAATTAAAATGGATCATTAAAAACAASGCCCTTCTCGAGCTGCCTTGCACAGTGCCAAGATGCTGTCGGTGCTACTGGAGTGTGGAACGGGGCCGCGGGGCGTCTTTCCAGCCCAGCTTCGCTGCCTGCGTTTTCTCCATAGTAACGGGGCCTGGCACTTGCAGCCACTCCATTTCCTGTAAAATTGCACACAGCTTCAGAAATGTTTCATCACCTTGTGCCAGACCTCCCACCAGCATTCCAGAAGCTTCCGTCATATCTCAGGTCCTACTTTGCCTGTCACTAAATGTTCCTTTGGACTCAAATGATATGAAGTAAAAAATAATTCTTTCCATTTGGGACGCCTGTCGTCCTTCACGTGCCCCAGCCCTGGTTTCACGCAGGACCATCCTGAGTGCTTCCTGCACACCCCCTTCTCCTCTGAGTGTCYCCTGCCTCCTGGTACAGGGCCCCAGCTCAAGAACTGGGTCASGGCTGCATCAGTGATGGAGCACTCGACTAGCACGTGTGAGACCCTGGGTTTGATCCCCAGCATCAAGGGACAATGAAAGGGGCGGCTGGTTCAGAGACTCCTGGAGTCCTCCAGGCAAGCCTTCTGCGGCTCTGCATGCTCAGCCTACTTCCTGTCCCTCCCCAGTTGGGGCACCTCTCCCTCCCTGTGCAGTAGGTCCTCTTCGCTCCTTTGAGACCAAGTTCAAGACTGTGAGTCTGGGTCCTGTTCATTACCAAACCTTGTGTCTAGTGAGATGCTTCACGTATTTTAAGCTTTCACCAAAGCTTTGGGGATGTTGGAGGGATGGATGGGTGGATGATGGGTGGATGATGGATGGGTGATGGGTGGATGATGGATGAGTGATGAATGTATGGATGATAGAAGGATGGATGGATCAACAAGTTTCCTAATCATCTTTAATTTAAAAATTATAATCCCAATTTCAAGAGGTCAGTGGAAATTGAAGTGGAAAAGAATAAATCATAAAATGTTTTGTTGGCTTTTTTAAAAAATTGTAATTTTTTGTAGTTTTCTACAATGTTTGTATCAAGCATATTTTTTCCTTTTAACTTGGAGAATATAATGTTGTTAAATTTATACTGAGTAAATCCAAATAAACACAGATTCAGAGATGGAATTCTGAAGAAGCAATTCCAAACACAAGTTCCGATGCCTCGTCCACCACATGGTCTGCTGCAGGMTACACATCCATTTTTAACTGAGAATGTTGTTTTTCCTGTAGACTTTTCACTGACATTTTATCACAAGTGCATGGGCCATTGGCCACACTGATGACCTCGTTTATTCTGTTTAGGAYATCTGTAAAGCCCTGTGGTGCCATCGCATAGGAAGGAAATGTGAGACGAAGTTCATGCCGGCGGCAGAGGGCACCCTGTGCGGGCAGGACATGGTAAGAAGCTGCGGTCGGGGGACAACGTGCACAGCTCTCACTTCCCCAACGCACACACCTCTCCTCCTGTTTCATTTTCCTGTTCTAACCCAGCGTTCCTCATACCCCTGTGTCTGCCTGCACCCCTGCCAAGAGCTGTGGTTTATTATATTGATATTTCTCACTTTTGTGGGAATATTGTTGATGAGCTTTCCAAAATTACAGAGAAGTCAGGCAAGACCTGATGACTGAGTCCATTTAATAAGGGAAACATTAACCACTGACCCCACTTCACCAGCAAAGAGCCAGCATCCCTGCTGTGTAGGCCTCTGAGCTTCAGTCTGCAGACCTTGCAGTAAAGCATTTTGACCTGTTGCTGGCTGTGGGTAAAGACACAGAGCTTTGATTCAGAAAAAAGAAGAAACAAATAAGATAGCAAGTCTGTTACCTAGTGGCAAGCAGGRACAAGTATGTCATTAAATTTTAAGAATAAACTGGTGGTGCTGGGCTGTGGCTCGATGGTAGAGAGCTTGACCAGAATGTGGAGGCTCTGAGTTTGATCCCCGGTMCCACAAAAAGTAATAAAACAAAATAAATTAAAAGAATAAGTTATCTTAGCAAGTAAGAATAATATTTTAATGTTTTTGATTTAACCTGGTTGCCTTTTTAGAATGCAAAAATTATTGATGAAGATAGAAATATATGAAAATCGATTTTTTACTGCAGACATTTTCATGTTTTATGTTTGTGGTCTTTTTAGTGTTACTAAAGAATATGAAAGAGAAATGTTTACTGAATGTATCACTGATCTCTTGGGCTTAAATTCCAAGCTACAGCACATCCTAAGGGTATTTAAATGTGGCTGCAGACAGGAAGGTTTTAGATTGTCGGAGACGGGTGCTAAGCCTTGAGAGTGACTGAGGAGGCACAGAGAAAGAGGCTAGCTCCCTGGGCCAGGGCCGGCACCCTCACAGGGGTGAGATCTGGAGCTAAGTTCACCTAGTGACATCGGCAGCTGCAGCTCAATGAATCCCTAGTAAAAATTGTTCTTGTTTCTTGATGGGATCCTGCAGTCTTGGGATTCTGATTGCCAGGACACGGGGTAATTGGCCTGAGTGCTAGGCAGCAGGTAATCATAACAGGTGAGCTGTACTCACAACTGTGTGTGCGCCTGTACMTGAGCATCCTCTCCCAACCCCATGGGATGATGTTTTCTTGTCAGATTCTCTAAAAGGGTTTTTAAAAGACAGTTTTTWAAACTAGAATAGTCATTTAAGGATGTCTGCAGGAATAGGAAAAGATGCATTTTCAGAAAAATGAACTGCAGCTCTAGTTATCATAGCAAAACCCTGGAAATATACAGATGTCCATCAGGAGGGAATTTTCTCGAAACAAACATGATGGAGTACTATGTAGCTTAGAAAAGAGTGRTAAGATGGCTGTATCCTTCTGTGGAATGATCTGCAGACTTTCTCAAATGCAGAAGAAGAGGAAAAAAAGCTTTATGTAGCATGCTGTCATTTATCAAAGACCAAGMGAATGAGAGAGAGAGARAAAAAAACTATTCTATATAATCATTAACTTATATTTTAAAATAAAAGGATAAACCCATATGTTGAAGAGCTTGAAACATTCTAGGTGATTTTGAAATTTGTTAAGATAACCCCTAACAAAYAAAAGTGAAATAAAAAGATGTAAACTAATGATAATTCTAGTGGGTGGCTTTACCATGGCCATAATAGAGGAATGAGCCCAAATGATCTTTAAACCCAGTAATTTGACCTTACGTCTCCAGTGGGATGTACACAATAGGAAAAAAGACTACCACAAAGAATTCTAAACTCTTCAGCAGCCATTGGCTTTGTTCTTCTAAAACTATGGAAGACAGAGGAAATAGTCGGTGCTGTGTCCTTAAGCCCAGACTTCTCATGTGTGAGAGGAAAAAGATACAGGTACAAAATCAAAGAAATGAGTAACACGCGTAACCCTTAAATCTGAATTGGATAAATTGCTCTGAATTCATGAAGCATTTTTTTTCTTTAAAATTAAAATTTAAAAATTCACACATATACACAAACTCTGTTGGCCAACTCGATAGCAATGGCCACCCTTCAAATGGATTGTAGCTTCTTAATCCAGTTTCATTCATAAAAGAAACCAGGATCTTCTCSTGTCAAGGGTGATTCCAGTTCTAGAACAAGCAACGTGCGAGGCCAGCCTGGCACACCTCCTGAGTGGACCTGGGAGCCTCCCAGACTCTGGGTCCTGCTGAAGGGCTGGGGGGCAGCTTTGCCAAGAGAARTGTGGAGTGGAGCCGTCTCCAATCACAGAGAGAGAGCACCCTGTTTTCCCGTGTGAACTCAGCCTCAGGGGCCAAACATCAAACTGATGAAGGATATTTTGTCTTAACGTCTGATCCAACTAGTAAAATGGCTGTTAGACTCATACATGGGAAGATGCTGGGGACCTTCATGGTCAGCAGGCAGCCCCAGGACCCCTGAGACACTGAGGCACCTCGACACAGGGTTCCAGGCATTGACCCAGTTATCCCACTCCTCGACCTAKGCACACACACAGCCCTCYGTGTGTGAGTCTACACCCTGGGCAACCTCCTAGGCCCAGCTGTCTCAATGCAGCAAGCCCAGGGGACCAAGGWTTGTGTTGGTGGCACCCTGGAGATGGAGGCCCCCTGAAGATGCAGCCAGCAAGATCCCCACGCAGGAGACAGGTGGATGGAGGCAGGAGAGAGGATGGAGGGAGGACACGTGGCAAGGCAGGGCACCTGTACCCRTACCCTGGAAGGGTCTGCTTCCACATCAGTGAAGAACAAGGGTATGAATGCAAGTGTGAGCGCCAACTGGATATTCGATGATACTGAGTGATCGCTGTAAGTTTCTTTACAATGGTATTGGGTCCATATTTTTAAAAGTCTTTAATTTTTAAGACATGTCATGAAATATTTCTAAAGAAGTGGTACAAAGTCTAGGGGTCAGTTTTGGGGGAGGAAAATGTGGACAGTATGCAGGTTAGACAGGACTGCCCCTGAGTGCATACGTGCTGAGCTGGATGCCAGTACCCGGGGGTCCGTGAGGTGTACTGTGCTTGTGAGGTCCTTGAAACTTTCCTTTTTAAAAAGTCGGGGTTTAAATAACTCAGCCAATACATGGGAAAGGGACTGAACAGAAACTTCACAGAAGATATACAAATGGTCAAAAAATATATGAGCCAGGCGTGGTGGCAYGTGCCTGTGATCCTAGTGGCTCTGGGGGCGGAGGCAGGAGGATCATGAGTTCAAAGCCAGCCTCAGCAAAAGCAAGGCACTAAGTGATTCAGTGAGACTCTGTCTCTAMATAAAATACAAAATAGAGCTGGGGATGTGGCTCAGTGGTTGAGTTCCCCTAGGTTCAATCCCTAGTACCACCTCAAAATATGAAAAATGCTCAACATCTCGAGCAATTAGAGAAATGCAAATCAAAACTACACTGAAATTCCATCTCATTCCTGTTAGAATGGCAATTATAAAGAGTACAAGTAACAATAAATGTTTAAACATTTATTTTATATATTTATATACTTTTATATATAATATCTATACCATTCTATATGTATACATAAAAAATACTCTTATTCTATTTTAAGCTGAAAAGTGGTCCCTGATACAAATGTTATTATAGTTAAACTAAAGCCCTGATGCACATTTAGGTTGATTCCAACATTTTATTATTTAAAAAGAAAAAAAGTTGCAATGAATAGCTTCATGTATCATTTAACAGATAAGAGTATATTTTACAATATATAAGTGCCTAGAAGCAAGTCAAATGATACAACTGCAAATTGGCACAACCACTCTGGAAAGCAGTATGGAGAGTCCTTGGAAAACTTGGAATGGAACCACCATTTGACCCAGTTATCCCACTCCTCGACCTATGCCCAAAGGACTTCAAATCAGCATACTACAGTGACACTGCTACATCAATGTTTATAGCAGTCAATGTATAATAGCTAAGCTGTGGAACCAATCTAGGTGCCCTTCAACAGATGCATGGGTGAAGAAAATGTGGTATAGATACACAATGGAATATCACTCAGCTATAAAGAAGAATGAAATTACGACATTTGCCAAGAAATGGATGGAACTGGAGACTATCATGCTAAGTAAAATCAGCCAGTCCCCCAAAACCAAAGGCCGAATATTCTCTCTGATATGTGGATGCTAACTCATAACAAGGGAGGGTAGGGAGCAGAAGCATAGAAGTTCATTGGATTAGACAAAGGGGAATGATGGGAAGGGAGAGGTGGGAATAGGAAGGCTGTAGAATGAACAAGACATCACTTTCCTACGCTTATCTATGAGTACATGACCAGTGTAAGTCCACATCATGTACAACCACAAGAGCAGGATCCTAATTGGAACGGGTTGCACTCCATGTATTTATTATATGTCAAAATACACCCTACTGTCATGTGTATCTTAAAAACAAAACCCAAAATCCCAACCCCTAGTACAAAAAAAGGCTAGGGGGTTTATTTGTGGCGGGGGAGGTGGTTATACCCACTACATTGTAACTACCCATTCACTCCTGTGGACGTGGCCAGGTAGCAACATCACATCGACAGCAGTGGTCACCACCCAGCAAGGCTGCCCAGAGGCACCTGGTGAAAGCCTTGCTGCTGCTTGTGCAATGGATCTTCGAGTTCAAGGGGGCCCCTGGCTCCACCCGCCTGCCTTCCTTCAGGAGCGCCAGTCCTCTCTGCACCTTCAGACTGGACAGATGTTTCTGAAAACATTTTTCAACTGACTCAACTTGTTGATTTTTCCTTTCGTATTTGCTCCCTTTTTTATTAGAAAGCTACAACCAGGTGATTTAAAAAAAAAAAAAAAGAAAAGATAAACACTAATAGCAACAGACACACAGGACATGCTGTGTCCTCCTCCTTCCAGGGCCTCACTCTCCTCCCCTCCCCTCCCCTCCCCTCCCCTCCCCTCCCCTCCCCTCCTCTCCTCTCCCTTCTCTCCTCTCCGTCTCTCTTCCCAACTCACAAAGTGCCCAGTGCCCAGCTGCAGGATTGTCACTGAGCTGAGGAACTGGCAGGGTTTGTTCTGCCACCTGGGATGTGGACAAGTAGTGATGGGAGACAGAGGTTTTTGTTTTTGTTTTTTACTTATATAGAAAAATCAAATAGTCAGATGGTTAAAGATTTCAAAATTAATTACGGGTTTAAGATTCGTTTTTATTTTTGAAGTAATTCTAAATGGAACCACTTGAACTTGCCACTCCTGTGTCACGGATACTCTGATACCACTGGTGTGCTGAGTTTTAACCTGGTGCATGAATCAGTGAGGGACTGGTGTATCTTCCTCTTACAGAAGGAGCACTCTTCTCTCAGTCTGGAGCTGCAGGCTCTAATCTTGGAGTGACTTTGCTRCCTGTGATATTAATCTTGCAGTGACTGCGCCTCCCCTGCCCTCCGGCTCTGCTGGCTCCATGCAGCCCAGGGCCAGGCACAGCCGTCTTCCTTCCCTCCTCTGTGTCAGGAGGAGTGTGGCCTCGCTGTTCCACAGAGGCAATGTCATCTCGTCAGATTCAATGTGAACTGAGAACCATGAGCACTTCTCTTGGGAAGGAGCAGCTGGAATCTCTGGCCCAAGTGGGGACAGATGGGATTCCACRGGAATCGTGTCATCTCTGTGGACAGCTGGATGACCTCTAACATGCCCTYGTGAACAAGCCTGAGGTTCCAGGCCCAGGTGCATTGCAGTGACAGCACAGAGTGTCACAGAAGTGACAAGGTGCTGAGCCCKTGGGGCCTCCAGCTGCGCTTTGCACCTGAGACTGACTCTTGTGAACAGGAGCTATGAAAAGCACCTGTTGCAGGAGAGGTCAGAGTTCAGTGCCTCGGAAGATGAGCAGTGGACTGAATGTCCCCAGAGCACAACTCCCTCTCAAGTTCCAGGACTCGGATGTTTGGTCTTCTCCGTGTCTCCCCTGGGTGTGCTCTCCCTAGGGATGAGAGGGAGCAGCAGCAGCACTGTTGTTCTGAGCGTCCACTTGCCAGTGGGGATGTTRGTGTGTGCGCATTTTACAAATCCGCAATTTGCCAATACGTAGCGGCAGGACAATCCACTTGCTCACCCGTGACTCACATGAATTATTTATTTATGTATTTTTAAAATGTTTAGTGGTGCCGCGGAGGACAGTGTGTGAAGTATGGTGACGAAGGCCCCAAGCCCACCCATGGACATTGGTCGGACTGGTCCCCCTGGTCCCCCTGCTCCAGGACCTGCGGGGGCGGAGTGTCTCACAGAGACCGCCTCTGCACCAATCCCAGGTATGTCCCTCGCTCCATGGGCCCTCCCAACAGCCTGCCAGTGCCCACACTCGGAAACACTGACTGTGTACTTTGCACAATGTTGTACAAGACACTGAGCACGAAAAGCATTTTACTCAAGAATTGCTTAAATGAGTATCTCTGAGACAATGTCAGATGCCGATAACTCCCTGACCCTAGCAAAAAGCAACAGACTCAGAAATTGGGATTTAACCACAGGTACTTGAAATGCTAAGGGTCTGCTTAAACAGCTAAATTGTAAGAGAAATATGTAGAACTCGAGGGAATAAGAATCCCTAAGAACAACTCTTCCATGCAAAAAGATAAAACAAAAAAAAAATGGTTTTCCATCAAATGCCTTCACCTTTACARCTAGAGATTTAACCATGGACTTGGGTAGAGGACAGACAGAGAGAGGCACTTCCCACATGGGAKAGTTTCAAATCCTCCTCTTGCTCCTGGTTGGTTGAAGACCCCAGTGGCCGTACTCTTCTGCTCCTCCTGTCCGAGAAGCCTGAGGCGGGTATGGCCTGTCCACTGTCCTCTCAGGCCCTTGCTCCCAGGTTGCTTGCACATGCCCCGGGGCAGGTGGTGCTCTGCATGGGCCCTGGCATGCTGGCCTTGTGACAAAGAGGCTGGCCGTGGGAAGGAGCAGGGTCAGGAGAGCAAAGCCCTGGACCAGCAGTCCCAGTTCTCCCTGGGAAAGCCGCCCCTCCTGAGCGGCTCCCCCAGGGGGACGTGGTGCAGCCTCTCAAATGGGAGGTTCCTAACTGGGGGCTTCACATTCCAGACCATCGCACGGAGGGAAGTTTTGTGAGGGCCCGACCCGCACCCTGAAGCTCTGCAACAGTCAGCCATGTCCCCAGGACAGCATGGACTTCCGCGCCGCCCAGTGCGCCGCGTACAACAGCCAGCGGTTCCGGGGCTGGCACTACAAGTGGAAGCCTTACACCCAGGTGGCAGGTAAGCCGGAGCCCACTCTTGGGCACAGCCCTGGCTTTGTGACCTTTGCTTTCCAATTGTGTGACTGGCAGCGCGGTTGCCAAGGCACGTTAATGCCGCCCTGTGGGGTCGGCTCCGCTGCTCACTCTAATGAGGGCTGGTGTAGTTTGGCCTGTCCCACCACCTTGGCATCTCATCCACATGTGGCCAGCTGTGTGGTCAGCAATCCATAGGCCAGACAGAGAGCAGGGGCATAATGCAAGGAAATWTGTTAAAGAAATAATAAGAAATTCAAAGCTGATGGTATATTAAAAATGAATCAATTTTTTAAAAAAATGTGAGTCCCAGTATTTGATGGCAATGTTATTAGAAACATATAATCCATTGAATATTTAGAATTATTAAAGAATGGAAGAAAAACTGTAGGAGATTTTAGAACATTAGATAATTTTCAAATATACTATATTCAGGAAGTGTAGCTCAAGTGGCATAATTGGGAGAAACCTAAAGCACAGTTAGTCACCTCATTCTTTGAAATGGGAACACTGTCCAGACAGACACGGAGACCCTGGGAAACACATGCATTGGGATGTCCCACCCGGGGTTCGCAGTCATTGATTCATTGTGATCGGGAAGCAGGTGCACAGGGGCAGTAAATGCAGGGTGGGAGATGGCAGGCCACTCCTACGTGACACCTTTGGTTGTGCTCTTCCCCACACCCTGCAAGAATCAGGCCAGGCAGGAGGAGGAGCAAGCCAAGGTCAGGAGAGACCAGAGGAATGAACTTTGAAACAGGGGTCAGAAACRTGTGTGCTACTCGTGATTTTGCTAGCCTTCAGTGAATAAATCAGTTACTCATGGAAGCACATACCAAGTCATAAATTAGTCACCCCTGGAAGCACACACTAAATTTGATTCTTGAAATCATTCTGTGGGGCCACTTACCCTGAACAGGAGGGAAATGACCTGTGGATGAGTCTTGGGCCTATGGAAATTGCCAAGGTGGACAGCTTTCATCCCCAACTGTTCCTTCCTTATCAGAAAGAGAACACAAAGATAAAGGCTTTTACAAAAGCCATGTTAACTAGATCAGCCACAAGACCTTGAAGGGATTCCTGGGGCCGGACGTGAACTTCCTATATTCTCTATACACCAGACACTATTCTTGAGAATCCATTACCTTTGTAGAAATTGTTGCTTTCTGGAGAATTCTATTAAAAGTGATCCCATTTATGTTTAAAAATTGTATATATTTCATCAAATGTGTTAAGAAATTTGGTGGCTCTCTTAATTACTTTATTACATCTTATTTGTAAGAGTTTTGCACATGCTCCACAATGGCAGTGGCCTTTATGCACTCCTGAAAGGGTAGAGAATTGTGAGGCGAAACATAATGTCAGAGTTAAGTCAACAAATATTTATTGAATGCCTACTATGTGCCAACCACTGTGTAAAGAACAGGGACAGTAGGGAACCCTGGAGTGAAAGAGAATAGTGAAGCTAGAAATAACCCCAACAAGTGTAAAGAAAAAGCAAAGGCCAAGGAGGCCACCGTGGGAAATGTCATTGCCATGTGTCACTGTGGGAGGTATTTTAAGGGGAAATCGAGATCTATCTGGAATTCAGAGCAAAATGATCCGAGCTTAAGTATCTCTCTTATTTGTGTTTGTGTGTGTATTTCTTTTTAAGATCAGGACTTATGCAAACTCTACTGTATCGCAGAAGGATTTGATTTCTTCTTTTCTTTGTCAAATAAAGTGAAAGATGGGACTCCATGCTCGGAGGATAGCCGTAATGTTTGTGTAGATGGGATATGTGAGGTAATGATGATTGCTTATTCATTCAACACATGTCTCCAGACAGTCCTCTTTGAGGCAGGCATGCTGGGGGCTAGAGAGGCCCTGGAAGAGGAGCCCCCYCTCCCAGTCCCAGCCAGTGATCACGGAGGAGTGAGCAGAGCCGGAGAGGGGGAGCCTTCCCTTCTTAGATGTGGGTCTGAGACATCCGGGGGGCCAGGAGGAGGGGGCATCCGMATCCCAGCCAGGTCTCAGAGGAGAGTGGAAGAGGGTCGCTGAGTGGGCAGCCAGGTAATGTCAGAAAGCCGGGGTGGACGGGAGCTGGTGTAGTCGTCAGGGCTGGGGGACACTGAGGAAGGGGACAGGGAGCAATGTTTCTCCAGGGAACTGCCTGCCAGGATGAAGACTGGCATTTCCATCCTCAAGCCCGGCTGAGGTGGACTGGGGACAGTGGAGCTGTAGGAAGAGGTGGCAGGTCTGGGCATTAGTGGGATAGTCAGTGGACAGCAGGGAAGTTGGGGCCGTGCAGCAGCTCCTGCAGGATAGTGGTTTCTTCAAGGTGCAGCAACCCAGGCTCCGCAGGGGGAGGGCAGAAGGAAAGGGTTGGGGGAGACAGGTGGGAGGAGGTGGCAGCCAGGGGAGCAGCTAGCGGGGGACTTGTCATACTCACAGAGATAAGGGTGGAAAGGATTCTGTYACCAAGAAGTGAAAGTGCTGCTGGCCAGACCCCATCTACCACCCAGGGAGGCCAGTTGATATGCATAYCCCGAGGAGTCCAAGCCTCAAGGCCAGTTCTAGCTCTGTCCCCCAMGGAGGTCCTTGGGGAAATCCTTCCAGAGGCAGGAAGAGCAGATGGGGTATTCCAGGAACCTCTTTCTTCTGCAAAATGCTCAATTTTGTCTAATTATTAGTTGATTTGTTCAATATGCCKTTATTTTAAGTACTTATTAAGCACACCTAAACATGAAATACCTATAGTGTCACAATCCTTTGTTTGTAACTCTGACATCTAAAAAGCTAGAAAGCTGAACTCCAAAGAACTGTGAAAGGGCTTTAGGACCTGTACTTGTTTGATGGCAAAATCTGCCCTGAACTAATGTGTGAATGTCGATTTTCCATTTTTATCCCACTCAGTGTAATGACTTTGCAGTGGAGGCATTAATGTGTTAGGTGTGGGGTGCTCCCCAGGCCTTGCTGGGTCTCCCATGTGCATCTAGTGTGACACCCTTCACCTTTCCAAAGTTTCCACTCTGAGTTCTGAAATCTGACCCCATGGATTTCAAGCAATTGTGKGCTATAGTTATGTGGATTTTTAAAAACATGCAGATCCTATTTTCCTTGGTAAGATAAAAGAAATAAGCATCATAGAAAGTAAGAGCTCCTGAAATTCCAAGACACTGCACACATACACCCTTTCTAATTGATCTCAGGGGAGAATTTCCTCATGGCAGCTGTCATTTCTGCTGCGGCACCTGGCAGCTCAGAAGCACATGGGTGCATTCCAGTGGAGCTCACGTGCACCATTGTTTGTCATTGTGCCAAGCTCTTTATGGGTCTGAAACTCACCCACGTTTCCAACATGAACACCCAAGGTCKCATTTGGGCTCAGGGTTCTCCTGCTGGGGAGCAGCACTGTAGTGTTCCACAACTTAAGTTTTCTCAAGAGTAGAATCATAGTCTCGCTGTGCACATATTGGGTGTCCAATAAATATTTGTTAACTACCCAGTGTGGGTGAAATTTTCACCTACGCTGGCAAAGAGGTTTCTTGCATGAGACTAATGACGGTATTGCTGGTATTGTCCTTTCTTTCATGAATGACATGTGACCTGGTGGGTCCTCCAGAGAGTGGGCTGTGACAACATCCTTGGATCAGATGCTGCTGAGGACTCCTGCGGGGTGTGCAAGGGAAATAACTCAGACTGCACGACCCACAGAGGCGTCTACACCACACACCACCCCACCAACCGTGAGTGTCCCAGCGCTGCCTGCAGGTCTCCAGCAAGGGGGATKGGAATTGGAGCTCCTGGGGGGAGGAGGAGGCAGAGTGAAAACAGCAGGCGCTCAGAGTGCCAACAGCTGGCTTCTCGAGCCTTGGGTGTGGACGAGAAGTGGTTGCCAGTCTACTTGGATTTAAAGGGTTCTTAGGAGGGTGGAAATCACAGGAGCCCTGCTCACTCCATAAAAACCTGGTGCATCAATTTCCAAATCGAGTTCCATGTGATGGCTGACACAGATCTTCTACGGTTCCTACGTGGGTTCTGAAGTCTGTGGAGAAGCTGCACTAGTAAGATGCCCTGTCCCCTTTGGTCATGCAGAGTATTACCACGTGGTCACCCTTCCTCCTGGAGCCCGGAGCATTCGCATCTATGAAATGAACACATCCACCTCCTACATCTCTGTGCGCAACGCCCTCAAGAGGTACTACCTGAACGGACACTGGACTGTGGACTGGCCTGGACGATACGAATTTGCAGGCACTACCTTCCGCTACAGGCGGTCCTACAAGGAGCCCGAGAGCCTGACCGCTGCCGGGCCAACCAACGAAACRCTGATGGTGGAGGTAGAGCAGCCTGGTGTCTGGGGGCTCGGCTTGGTGGTCACTGGGTGTGTCATAGGTCACGGCTGTTGGTCTACTTGTAACTATGGGGCAGAATGTGCAGTTAAGAGTGATCCATGTGCAGCTTCAGGGGCTGTAGACTTGCTTTTGCCTCCTGTCTTTTCTTGGTGTGTGATGAGGGGAACACACGTTTCCATCTTTGGTCTTTATCCGTTGATTTTATAAATATCCACTTCTCTCCTGTATACTCAATGGCTGTGAGAAGAGCCCATTCTGGGAGTGGGGAGCTTGCGATGCCTATGTTTGGAGTCATCAGCCTTCTGCTGCCATGTGCTGTGTGACCTGCCAGTGTCACAGCATTGACCCTCACTGGCCACACCTGGGCTGTCGCACTGGCCTGGTCTGCATGTGGGACTCCTCCTGACCCAAGCCCTTGCCTTTTCCGCCAGGAGCGTGTAGTCACTTGACACCGCCAGGCTTCTTCTGGCAACCAAATGTGCCCCAGCGGCCCAGGCAGAGGGCAGCGCACACTGTGGATGTACTAGATTCCACCCGTTTCACATTTCTGTGAAGCTCAGGAAGAGCTCTTGGTTCAGAAGTTTCCCGTGGACCCACACCTCACCATGGAGGTGGCAGCTAACCAGATGCCCCTACCCACTCTCTGGCCAGGCAGCCCCACCCCCTCCTCTGTGTCGGCCTGGGAGATGCTTCCCCAGGAGGTCTGGGCATGGCCCAGGGTGCTGGTGCGTCTCCACAGGCCACCTCCATCTCCCCAGCCCCCGGCCTTCTGCCYACTGTGCATGTCCTCATCCTGGATTCTTTGCTTGCTTTTTCTCYTCCATCATTTAAGCTTTTAACTTTAATGACCTCAACAAAAGACAGATAATTTAGGGTGGGAAAAAAATGGGGTTCTCAGGAAGCTGCTCTTCATGGAAGAGGRTCTGGAGAGCATCTCTGTTGCTGGGCCATGTGACCACCTGCTGCAGCTTGCCCCCCTCCCACACATCTGTACCAGCTGGGACCCCTGCTGTGTCCTCAGGGAGAGAAAGAGACTCCAGGGCAGKGAGGCAGGGGCAAGTGTCTCTATCCACATTTAATGTCAAGGGGAGCAAGCAGGTGGAATTTGTGTCAGCAAATGAAAGATGGGGTTTCCAAACATCTCTGCTTACTGAGATGCAAGGGTCTGGTCTATGTTGAGGGCTACGATTAGGTCTCAGGCTAGAAAGTACACGATCCAGATCCAATTCCATCACCAGGCACCACTCACTGGGCCTGAGTAAGCTGCTTTGCTAATGAAACCTGTCTCTCCTGGACTAAAGGGCCTTTCCAGCACGCCGAAGTCCCTGAGCTTCGTGAGGCAGGGAATGCTCCCACCTGACTGTCCAGGCGTGGGCCTAGCCATGTTTACCYCAGTGTCCTGGTCATCTACGACCCTGGAGGAAGTGAGACTCCTTTTTCCGTATCACTTTCTGGCTCACTGCAATGAAGAGGACCCACAGAGAATCCCAAAGAAACATGAAGGGAGATGCCCTCGATGTCCTGCAGACACTTGAAMATTTGTACAGAGTACTAGGTTACACCGGCAGCAGGGTGGAATGTTCAATTCTCCTCGTTGTGTTTGAGTCTACTTGAGTCTTTCCCTGTTAGGAGGCTCATGTTCATTTCAATGGACGGGCAGTGTCTGTTTCAMCCTTCCATCCAACTTCTCGTTGATTCCATTCATGTTTTAAGTGGTTTAAAGCAACTAACCAGTGTGTAGCTATTCATTTCCCTTTAATTAATTTTATTTTCCTCGTTCTTCTTTTGTAGCTCCTGTTCCAGGGAAGAAACCCAGGCATTTCCTGGGAATACTCAGTGCCCCGGTTGGGTGCTGAGAAGAAGTCCATCGCTCAGCCCAGCTACACCTGGGCCATCGTGCGGTCTGAGTGCTCCGTCTCCTGTGGAGGGGGTAGGTTTCCTCTGGCGGCTCCTGGAGGTGGGGACATTGGTGCCCAGTGCATCAGGCCCTGGGGCACCCTGACTGGGTCCTCATCGGGTCCCAGTAAGTAAACCAGGGCYTATCCCCCTGAGCAACCAATCGTTCCAAGTGACAGAGAAGGGAAGATGGCCCTGTCACTGGTGAGCCCCAGCCACCATGCCACCTTGCCTGCCTCCGTGTGGAGCCATGAGGACGTCCTCTGGTGCATCGTAAGATGTTTTTAAGGATCATGTCGTTACTCAAATATCATTCAAATGTAAGTGACTGATTATTAGATATGTCTGTGACGAGAAGCAGAATTGAGCATGGAAAACAGTGATGTAGAGTTTTTCTTTTAATTTGATCTTGGGTTAGACTTAAATTTACTGGAAGAAAACTTACTTTCAAGTCATAGACTCAAATCCACCCAGGAATCATATGAATCTGATAAAAGTTGCAGTGAGGATGCTATGAAAGGACATGTCAAAAAGATCTTCACGTGACAACAGATGGCTTTGCTGTCTTCACAACATACAAATGTTAAGCCCATGCTTTCCCTGATAAAAGCAATTCCACTGAAACAGTTTTTTTTTTTTAAAGAGCCAATGTGCCCTGAGAAAAGGTGGGAGTAAATTTGTAAATATTCGCAAATTTAGAATAAAACGCAGGCTCTGACATTTATAAGAGACACGTTTCCACCTGAACAAATGGATCTTGGCTTGGTGCATTCTCAGGAAATTAGACAAGGCTGTGTTTCAATATGAGAGAATGGCATGAATAAAGAAAAATCAAAATTTGTATTCATATATTCACAATAGTCACTCTAAATACATGAGATAAAGGGGAAAAAGGAAACCCAAAAGATAAAGGAAACCACACTAATCTGAAAAGCTAACACTTGATGGATGTTAATTCTTCCCATTTTAAACCAAACAGAAAATATTCCAATCATAAAGCCCTGGGCCTAGACACCAGGAGCTTTCTGTGCAGAAAGACAGCAAGCAGGTAGCTCTTCAGCAGCAGAGAGAAGCACAAGGAGGCCCTGTATAGGCGATGCCCCAGGGAGCCGCCATTTGTGCACCTAAGGAAAGGAGGAGCAAAGCAGCTCCGGCTGGGCGCTGGCTGGTCGCTGGCTGGACGCTGGCTGGGCGCTGGCTGGACGCTGGCCGGGCCCTGGCTGGGCGCTGGCTGCGTGCCGTGTGGCAGCCAAGGGCCCTCACAGGAGCCAACACCATGCTGTTTGAACTTCCAGCCTCCCAAACGGCAAGCCAAAGAAACTGCTTTTCTCTATAAAGTGCTCTGCCTCGGGTTTGCCGTTGAAACACTGAGAAAACAGACTGATTCAGTATCCTTTTGCCATTTTTGATAGGTTGATGCTGTTGGGGTAGTCAGGCACTTGGTCAGTTCCTTATTAAGCATAGTATCTGCTTCTGATCAGACAGGGGACGATGTCACAGCCATCTATAAGTGACCCTTGTCACCATCCTCTGTGCTCTGATGCACCCTAGGTCCTGTGAGTAGAGAGATCGTGTCTGGAGAAGCTGTCACTTAAGTACACAGGAACCTTCAGAATCTGAACACCTCCCAGGATCACACGGTGGTTTCTCAGAGAGATCCTTCCTCTTCTGATTCTGAGACTCTCTAAGGCTCCTGTGCTGCRCTCCGTCGGTGCATCCAGCACTCAGAGAGAGGCAGAGCCCCTTGCCCTAGGATGCACATGACTATTTGTAAAACCATCTCCACTGCCCTGTGTGGTTTTGCTTAGAAGGATATCACTTTTGGCCACAGCTGGAATTCATTCTATAGTTAGAATTATTGAAAATTAGAGATTCTTTGATAAAATCATAGTCTTTAAGAATGAATAGTCCTCTTTCAAGTACTTTGGCAAAATATGGAAATTTTTAAGTGATTTTTAAGGAACGGGCCAAAGCTGGTTTCTATAGAAAGATAAAAGTAGTTGCTGAGCACATTGCTCATTAAACTCACCTCCTTTCATGGCCAGCGTTCATCTCGCCACAGCTAATGGATCCTTCTCTCTGAATCTCTTATTTTGTACTTTGAATTTTATAACCTTCTCCTCTTATCTATTACTATGGGTCATCCTAGAAAATTGGCCAGCATTCATCTCACATTTCCATGGACTATGCGATTTTTCTCTCTGACAAAGTGAAGTGGCCATATGCAATGATGAGAAATTGCTTCACAGATGTGCTGTTGGGCAGAGAAATAAAACCCTAGTTTCTCTAAATGTTCAGCCAGATGACTAAGGAGACCCCACTCCACCAAGTGGGACTCATCGGACACCACGATCATCCACACATGGGGTAAAAACAGGTCGAGGACAAGCCAAAGGCCACTGGACACATGGCTGTCTACACACAATTTTGACTCCTCAGAAAAGACATTTGGAAACAGAGAAAGAAATATTTAAATTCATTGTCTGTCTTTTATTGTTTATATGGCCTATTAGTCAGGACTCTCCAGAGAAATTGAACCACAAGCTGAGATGTGACCACATATACAGCCACATGTACATGTACCAGATATGTGTTTATATGTGTTCTACTGACAGATGGGCTCGAACCATCATGGAGGGTATGAGCCTCCGTGCTGTCCCCAAGCAGGGACCAGGAGGACCAGTGTAAGGGAGCAGAGGTAGGAGAACGGTGTAGCCACCCACGTCTGACACCCAAGGGCAGGAACCCACGCCCAAGGCCCCAATACTCATGTCTAGGTGCATACAGAGCCGAGGATCTTGAGTATGCAAACCACATCAGAGCGACAGTCTCTGATTAAGGACCCCAGGAAATCCCCTTGACAAAAGACATTGTGCAAGAATTAAGTGTGGGTTTTTGTGCTTAACTTTTAGTCCTGGTCATTTCTGCTGCAGATGAGGTTACAGGTGGCTGGCACACGGGGAAGCGTGGTGTCTGATGGGCAGTGGAAAGGCAGGAGGAGCTCCCTCAGAGGGTCAGGAAGGAAATCCTGGTCTGACAGGAGTTAGAGAAAAATTGAGGAGAGAGTCAGGGATTGTCACAAACACTAGATGCTCCTCCTGGGCAGATCTAGGAGCCCCGGCTGAGGCCCATGAACCACAGACGTCTGTTCTCCCATGTTCCCCTGTGGCACTGGACTCACTGGAAAAACCATCTCTTGAAGCATAACCCTCACCTGCACCCTGGAGTCACTCCAGAGCTCAGGAGTAAACATCTGGGCCCAGGCCAGGGAGTGGGGCCAAGCCTGACTTCCCCTCTGCCTCTGCCAAAGGAGGCATTTGAGCAGGTTTGTTTCAGTGTCTTCACTGTGAGATGTGCCAGGCACAGAGAAGTTGTCCTGCAGTCATGTCAATTAACAATAAGGTTCAAAGGAAACCCAGAGTCAGCTCTTCCTTGGCCCCGGGCTAGTCCTTCCTTCCCCTGCCCTGTGGAGCCTTTCCATGTTGGGTTCCTGGGGACAGGTGAGCAGGAGATAAGGAGAGGCCAGAGCAGACTCCCAAGTCCTGCAGACAAGAGGAGCCTGTGGATAAGTGAGGTCCCTGCTCTCTTGCTGGATGCCCCAGACTCCCTGAGCTCGGCCTGCACAGACAGGAAGTCCACTTCCATGGAGGCCCAGTTGGGCATGTTGGGATTATTTTTCATTATGAATGTCAAAAATAAATAAAAATAGAGAAGGCATGCCCATCACTCCGTGGCTCCTCGACCTGATGCCGTGGTAGGGTGTGTGTATTCCACATGCCTGGGCCCCTTCACCACGGTCCTTGGAGATCAGCCTAGTTTCTCCTATGCCAGTGAATTTTTACTGCCAGTTCCCTGGCATATTTAAGCATTATTTAAGTATTATTCACAGTGAATAGACAGTAAAATATTCTCAGAATTGTCTTAGAAATTGCAAATATTGACTCCATTTGGGGGAGTGTTTCCCAGGGGTGATTAGCAAAAGTCTAAAAATTTTTCTTTTGGGGAAGAACTTTTCTACATATGGGTGCATAAGTATGCATGTATGTACTTGTATGTGACCCCACACACGATTAGTTGGCTTGTAGACACAAAGGCAGAACAGTAGCATGAGAGCTGAGTGACGGAGTTGTAAAGATTCTGATTTTAACTTCATAATCTCAGTGCTGTCAGTTTAAGATCATGTTGTGAGAAATCTTGTGGAAAAGTAACGGCAGGCCTTTAGCATCTAGGAGCCCAGGCCAGCATCAGCATCTCTGAGGGACTTGTTAGAAATGCAGATTTTTGGGCTACCCCACAGCCCCAAGGATGGGGCCCAAAGTCGGCTGACACCACTKCCTGGTATTCCTATTGTGCACCAAAGCTGGCGAAACCCTGGTGCAGGGGACCCTTGCCACTGGGCTTCTGCTGTGGACTTCTCTCCAAACACGTCATATCTAATGTGCAGTCCCTGCCCTGATCTCCAGGCAACCCCCAGAAATTTCTGAAATCCCTTGTGTATAGAAATCACAATGGAAAACTATTGTTCTGGAGGAAAATTCTAAAAGAACAACTTTGCTGCACACAGAAGTTTGCATAAATGGCGATCAGAGGATTGCCTCTGGCTGAGACAGAGAAAGTCTAAGGTCTTTTTGGAAGGTGAGCAAAGATGGGCTCAGTGAGAGCTGGGAGAACAGAAGACCAGGACATCCCTGGAGAAGTCCCAGGACTGGGCCTGGGGAGCTAACCCACCCTCCCCGCTATGATTTTAATTGGGTAATTTTGGAGGAAGAGGAAAACAGTTTCTGTTAACAGAATCCCAAACTCTACTGATCTTAACAGATTGAAATCCCCACTTTAACAACCCTCGGAAGCAAACTGGAAGCCAGAGCCGTGGTGGAGCAGGGCCACCATGGGTTCCACATGTTGCACAGAGACCCCGTGGAGTCTCCCCTCAGAAGGCCACTCCCATGCTCAGTGCTGGGAAGGCGTGCCAGGTGCACCATGGGTTCCACATGTTGCACAGAGACCCCGTGGAGTCTCCCCTCAGAAGGCCAC